ACCATTATTAATTTTGTTTTGTATCCATTTATTAATAAAAACATAAAGTCGTTGCTTCAATTATTATCATAGCTATCTGGGTGTGATTTTTATTCATTTGAAAACCGACCCTAGAGGGGGTAGTTCTTCCGCTACATTTCCATCCATGGAAATATTTTACCATACAGTTTTACAAAATTGTGGTTTTCCCTTTAAACATTTTACACCTCTTCTGCTTTTTTTTTTTCCTTAGATTTTTCATTCATTTGTTTTTATTCATTCGAACACTTACATTTCAAATGATGCTACCAAAACGCAATACCGCTACACGTTTGCAATGCTAACAAAACATAATCATAAAATTGCTGACGAATGATGATTATAAGGCATATGCCCTAGTTACATTTTATTTCTTATTCATGTTATTGTAACACATTTATTAAACTGCCGATCTCACTGATCTCGTCTCGAATGAATGATGATTTTTATTCGCCAAGCTTCCAACATACAACAATATACAAAAATAAAAGATAAAAAATAAGTCAGCTTGAACAGGATAACCCACGAAAGCTCGAGAGCTTATTTCCAGTGGGATCCCCTACAAACATGTGCAAAATTAATAAGTTGAAATATTTACGAACAGTTAAGGAATAGAAATAAAATTACTTATCAAAGTTAATGATAATAGCAACATTAAACTGATGATATAAATGATAATAAGTACAAGAAGAAAAAGAAGAAACAGAGGAGGAGGAGGAGGAGGAGGCAGAAGAGGAAAATGATGATGAATTTCTAGAATTTCTATAATGTGCAAATAGCCTACATAAATATATACAAAATGAAAAAGTATGAACCGGCAGAAGAATACAAATTTCAATCATATAACATGTCATTCACTTCTCTTCTCTGACTCTCAAGTATTAGGTATTCCTTTCATTTCCTCTTAAAATGAGCATATTTTTCTATTTCCTTTATACCATTGGGATGGAAATTCCAATGTTTTATGGCATTGTAATAAAACGAATTTCCAATTCTACCTACTTTTTCTGGTAAGTTAAAGTTGAATCGGCTATTTCTTGTATTATAATGATGTAAGTCAGTAACAAGATCGAAGTTGGATCGAATATAGTGATTCGACCTAGTATGACTCAGTTTACATCTTGCTCTTAAACCATCCATGTAAACTTTGTATGCTGCTCTCGCTTGAACATCACCAAAGAACACAAACCATAATTAACAGAAGAGGGAAGAGGATATATTTAAGCTCTATTTAATAACTCTTTTATTACGAAGAAGGGTAGCTTAATAAAAATGGGCATATATCATAATTATCTAAGACACTTGTTTATCTCCTCTCTTAAATGATAGCTTTGTTATTAAATTTAAATTCATATTGATTAGTAATGTTTTATATATTCAATATAATAGCCTTGTTTTTACTACACCTGAACAACTGCAACTACTTTTTGTGGTAAATACTTATAAATCACATCTTAACAAATTATACATTCCTACAGAAAAAGTCTTTTAGAAATATAACAAAGTCACAAATGCAAAGTCCAAGTATATCACTCTTTAAACAGGTGCAAAGCTTGCCTTTAGACGATTTGATTACATTCAGTACTCTAATTCGTGTGTACTGTGCAAGACATTTCCCCCGAAAAGTATAGTAATATGTTTATTAAAACTCAAATGTTCATTCATATGCCACTAAAAAGATCATTTTCATGAACCCATTGTTAGATTTTCTGCTTCACTTATGTCATTGAATGTTGCTGGCGTGAACTACATGTATTAACTACATGAATTATCAGATCGCAGGCAAATTTGGATGGCGACAGCAAAGACGCGAGAGGGAGTCTCTCCTGCTTTATGGATCCCTATATGAAGCTTCATACACCTCTCTTTAGAAATTTAGCCATCTATTGGTAGAAATTGAAGTCGTGATTTTAGCTATTCCCGTAAAGAAACGAACAATGCCAGTAACGGTTAATAGTTCATGAGTGAGGTTCCCGGGTACCGGGAAAATATTAAAAATTATTATGAGATCCCCATTGGTTTAGGGGTTAAAACTTGTGCGAGCGCGGATGCCATACAGTGCTTTTTATCTGCGATTCCCAAATGATTGTAACATTTATAGTCATCTTTCCAGCGAAGATTAACCGACAGAGTCTCAGATTTTTCTAACAATCTTTACTCAAGAAAAGGATAATGTAAGAATTCTTGGTAGATGTTTGTGTCAATTCGGTATATAAAGATATATCGACTACTTTAATATTTGAGGCCTGGCTGTTTCTATACTGGCTCTCGGGGACGGCGCCCCGCCCACCCAGACGCGCCTCGGGTTCATGGTCTTGGCAGGATGCAACGTGTTGAGGTCTTAAAGTGTAACATGGTCTTAAAGTGTAACACGGTGCCTAAGTTCCTGAAAAATTAGTCGATGCGCACAGCGCCTTGGCATAATACATCTAGCTAAGTGTTTGCTGTTCACTCGAACTAACCAGCTGGCCGCAGCAATGTCTCGCCGAATTAACTAACTAATCAATATATTCAGGGGGGGGGCAAAAAAAAGACACTTTCTGGGGGGGGGAGGGCACATACAAAGGGAAATCTCAAAGCAAAAATATAAAATTGTTTACATTGTGGTCACAATAATGAGGGATGATTTCAATATTTGTTTCTCAGACTCTTTTAACTGAACATGCATGGTCCAATAATATTAGCTACTGTTTAAGCATCATGTTACTTTGCACAATCTGAATATTCACTTACATGACATGGAAGCAAAAGTTTCAAGATAAGTGAGGTCGCTGTGCGAAAAATTGCAGCTTGGGATTTTAATCACGATGATGAAAGACTGAAAACTATATAACACGCTTATATCAACTATAAATGCGATCTAGCGTAGACACAAGCTTGGGGGGGGGGGGTTAAAGAAAAAGAGTTGCTCTTAGTCGCTTAAAAAATAGGGGCACATGTTATGGATAAATGAAAATGGAGCACTCAGATGGAAAAAGGACATTTATTTGAAAAGAAAAGGAACATGTGTCTAAGTAAAAGGGGCAGTAATCAGTGGTGAAAACGGGGCATTTCTCGCACCTGAAAAGGGGCACTCACCAGAGATTTTTAAAAGGGGCACTAATGATAATGAAAAATGGGCATTTGTCGCAGGAAAACGGGAACCTATAAGATTTTAATAGGGGCATTTATGAAAGATGAAAAGGGGTATTTATGAAAAGGAGAGGGGCCGTATAAAAAAGGGAAAGGGGCACCCATTAGGAGGGAAAGGGTACTTACAAGAAAGGAAAAGGAGGCATGTGTCAAAGAGGAATTTATGAGAAAGGGAAGGGGCTCTTATTAAAAAGGGGAAAGTGGCACATATCAAAAAGTAAAAGGGCACTTATTAGAGGGGACACGTGTCAAGGTAAACAATAAAAAGGGCTATTATCAGATATCATAAGGGGCACTTATGAACTTGTGACAAACATACAATCCAGATGAAATACGCCATAGGATGAAATCATTTCTTCACAGTATACGAGTAAGGAAAGAAAAATATAAGAAACCAAGATTACTTTTAAAATTAGAGAAAAAAATAAGAAAAAGATAAAGGAAAGAAGGGAAAAAAAGGTAGCCAGGCCTATAAAAAAAAACAAGAGGTTGACTAGAAGTGAAGACATGGTATCAATATTATCTTTCTCCTTTCCCTTCTTCTTTCGTCTTCTTTTCATTTCAATTTTCGTTCAATTTATTTCTATCTTTCTTGGTTTCTTTATCCTATATTCTATTCATTTATTATTTATATTTATTTTCTTTTTTTACTTTTTCTTTTTTCTTTCTTATCCCATTTTCTTTCTTCCTTTCCTTCCTTCTGCTTCTTCAATTTCTTTTTCATTTGTTTTCTTTTCTTTGCGGCTTACTTTCCGGCATATTTTCATCATCAAGAGAAGTTAAATGTGCTAGATAGATGTAATCAGAAACAATGATATCTCCAAATTCTAATGGCAACTGGTATTGCTATTAGACTGAAGTCACTTGATGAAACACGCCAGAATTACGTAGTAGGTAGGTGATGGCTTTGTCCCCCCATAACGAATGGCGATTAACACGGCCTGCTGTGCATGTAGCGCAGTCGGAGCGCAGTCTATAAAATTAATGCTTCGCGGTAATGACAATCTTCGGCCTTTTCCACTTGAATCTCTCCCTCTCTCTCTCTCTCTCTCTCTCTCTCTCTCTCTCTCTCTCTTTATGGGATAAAAGAAAGCTTACGAAGCTACTCATGTAAGGCATAATCTTTCCTATCGGTCTGTATTAAGCTTTAAATGTTGAATTGGTACACTTTAGTAGTTTAGTCGAACAATTGCAGCAACTAGCTAGTAAGCTGGAATGAAAGCGAGCAGTATACTGCTGTTTGCATGCATGATAACTACAGCTAGCTGTACGTCGCGCGCACGCAGCGACTCTTTTTTCAGGAGCTAGGGGGTCGTGTTACACTTTAAGACCATGTTACACTTTAAGACCTCAACAAACGTCCACTTGAGCCTATAAAAACAGCCAGGCCTCTCATAGCAGTCGATCTATCTATAATATTTATACTGTTTCGAGCAGGCTGACCTCAGAGCAAAGATACAACCCGATCTCGAACTACGGGCAGAGTCTGTCCTCAAACTGAACCCAAAGTCTTACCCCCATTCTGGGTCAGTCGGGGGTCGCACGTGACTGCGAGTCTAACCTTACTTTACGGAAGACAAGGGTAGACTCTCTGGACGACCGAAGCCATATGAACTTACAAAACAGGAAATCCAAAGTTCCAGAAGGACTAAACTAGAGAATAATTTTGTTGAAATATGTATTTTGCTGGCAAAAAAACATATTTCTTGGCGTAATCTACGAACCACTAAAGTGATGTAGCGGTTGATATTTTTAATATCAAGTGTGTTCTGGCAGCTGGGGGTAGTGCCTTTTTTCGAGGAGTTCCGTTCGCCATGTTTATGTCGCGCTCCAGGCCGCTCGGAGTGAGGTTTTTTTGTTTGTTTCCCTAATGTTTTGTGTTTTTTAAACATCGGAAGACTAACATTGCAGTCCAGTTATTGTCATTTTTTCCGATGTTTATTTAGAAGTAGTTGCATAAGCATATTAAATGCAAATGTGTACAGGAAGTGCAAGTTTGTACGGGTGTGATGCAAATATATTCAAATGATGTAAATATGTTTTATTATTATGATAAAATTGAACTCCCTATTTTAGAATACGAATACTATACTGTGATCAACATTTATTTCTCATTTTCTTTAATTTTGACACTTTTATTGAAAAATAACTACCCTGTGGGGCCTTATAACTCACAAGCATATATTTCATCATAGGCCCTCCATATTTCAATCTTCTTTATTTTAGTTCAGTTTTTTAATTTAATGCATTCGAACAATCGATATGACGTACTCACTTTCTGTTTTTGAGTCTGTAGTTAGATCCAGCGTTTATTTGTAACATTTACCTCTTGAAATTATTGCAAAAATGTGAAATATATGTGAAATATGAAGCACTAAACTGAATATTGAAACTGAATAATGACCAAGAAAATATAGATAATGATTAATTTAGTTTATAAAGATCGGCGACGAGTTACATGTTGCTGTCGTTTTCACTGCCATCGTCGTAGATAGGGAAGTTCTCTGGAGGCTTGTATTCCGTGTTGACGATGAATAGGAAGAGCTGGACCCAGATGGTGATTTTGTCTGAAAGATTAAATCAAGGTACATCGTAATTAATTATATGTCAAATAGGATAAGATAATCACTATGAACATGACGGACAAAGAAAGAGGACAAAATATACAGTTCATCATTCTACCCTCAACAATTGCTGTGGTAGAAAAAGGAACATCCCTTCACTGCTATTATGCAAAAATGTGTAGAATAAAAACACATGTGAATGAAATTAATAGATACAGCTCACTGAACTTTCTGTCATTGTTCCTAATGAAATTAATAGATACAGCTCACTGAACTTTCTGTCATTGTTCCTAATGAAATGAATAGATACAGCTCACTGAACTTTCTGTCATTGTTCCTAATGAAATGAATAGATACAGCTCACTGAACTTTCTGTCATTGTTCCTAATGAAATGAATAGATACAGCTCACTGAACTTTCTGTCATTGTTCCTAATGAAATGAATAGATACAGCTCACTGAACTTTCTGTCATTGTTCCTAATGAAATGAATAGATACAGCTCACTGAACTTTCTGTCATTGTTCCTAATAAAATGAATAGATACAGCTCACTGAACTTTCTGTCATTGTTCCTAATGAAATGAATAGATACAGCTCACTGAACTTTCTGTCATTGTTCCTAAGGTACTAATCAACAAACTGAATTAAACAAAAGCATAATAAACTGAACGGTTTCTTTATCCGTTATAAATAATAAATACAGAACAAATCATGTCCTGCTTTTAAAGCAGGTAAACTCCCATTGTTTAAATGACTATTACTTAAGAAATAATTAAACAAATAATACATTTTAATCATAAGGCATAATAAAACTTTATAATCATAGAATGGAAATAGTCGTTACACTCGAGGTGTCATGTCCTTTATCACCTCTGCTAATTCAGTCTATGAAAGCAAGCAGTGCATTGATTGGCCTGTAATTCAAAGAAATGTCTACATTTTGTGATCACTTTGTCATTATAATGCGACCTTCACTCACATGGTCCATCTAAGTTAGATCACCCCAGCAGGGTGCAAGAGGCGGCGCTCCCGGAAAAGTGCCCCTTTAACTTTGTAAAAAGTGCCCCTTTTTAAATAGGAAAAGTGCCCCTTTTACTTTGACAAGTGCTCCTATTAATTTTTAAAAGTGCCCTTTCCCCTTTTTCCACTTCTGATAAAGTGCCCCTTTTAGTTTGACACATACCCATTTTCCTTTGCAATAAGTGTCCATTTTCCATTCTCATAAGTGCCTTTTTTGTAATCTCTAGTAAGTTCCCCTTTTCAGGTACGATAAGCGCCCATTTTCACTTTTGATAAGCACCCCCTTCACCTCTGATAATTGCCCTATTCAAATCTGAGAGGTTCTCCTTTTGTTTTGACAAGTTCCCTTTTTCCTTTGTAAAAAGTGCCCCTTCCCCTTTTAAAACTTACCTCTTTTTAACTTGGATAAGCGCACCTTATATTTTTACATGTGCCCCCCTTTCCTTTTCCTTTCCTTATTAGTGTCCCGATTTAAAAAGAGCCCCTTCCCTTCTCATAGGTGCCCCTTTTCATGTCTTGTAAATTCTAATTTTACATTGACAAGTGCTCCTTCCCATCCTGTTGAGTGATCTTTTTTATCTCTTATAGATGCCCCTTAATTTTGACACGTCGCCCTTTTCTTCCTAATAAATGCTCTTTTTCCTTCTTATAAGTGCCCTTTCCCCTGCTCATAATTACCCCCTTATCATCTTTGATAATTGCCCCCTTTCTTTCAAAAAATGCACATTTCCCTTTAAAATTAGTGTCTCTTTTTAATTCTCATAAGTGCCTCTTTTCATGTATGGTCAGTACCCCTTTTCAGATGCGATAAGTGCCCCTTTTCACCTCTGATAATTACCCTTTTAAAAATGATATGTGCTCCTTTTTCCTTTTTAATAAGGAACCTATTCCTTTTTCATAAATGCCCCTTTTCACTTCTTATAAATGCCCTTATCAAAATATGATGGGTGCCTCTTTTCCGTCGACAAATGCCCATTTCCTTTTCATCCCTGGTGCATGCCTCTTTGTTTAGGTGTAAGAAGTGCCCCATTTTCACCTTTGATAATTAGCCTTTGTACTTTGATACGTGCTCTTCTTACGTGTTTTCTTTGCTAATAAGTATTATAACACTTTCGATAAGTGTCCCCTTTTCCTCTCATCATTAAATGTGCCCCTTATTTCAAGCGAATAAGAGCGATTTCCCCCAAAGCTCGCTCGCTACGCTAGCTCATAGTTATATATGTGGTAATTATGTAACTTAACAAAGGTCTTTTTAGTCTTTCGTTATGAGAATATGCTTATAACCCCATCAAGGTTGAGTTTTTCCTCTTTATAAGATGAAATTTTTCGCACTGCGACCTCACAAATCTTAAAATTTTTCCTCCCTCGCAAATGAATTTTCAGACCATAACACCCAACTGCAAAGTATAATGCTTAAGCAACATCTTATATGATGTATAAAGAGAAACAAATATTGAAATCATCCCCGATAATGTAATCACAATATATAGGGGTATATACCAATGTAAAACAAACACAATATTTTCGCTTTGAGATTTCCCTTTGAAGGTGCCCTTATTTTCTAGAAAGTGCCCTTTTTTGTTGGTGCCCTCTCACTTTGGAAGTCGCTCCGCCGCCTCTGGTGGGTGCAGTCCCATGCAAGCCATAACGCTCGTGTGTAACAGGTCTTCAAGGGCAGGGTATTTTACCGTCATCGCTATCACTACCGTAATGTATTTTCTATTGCGCCACCTTTCGGTAAGGGCATGCATAATGCTATTTCCGGTTCCTGTACCAAAGCATCGTGCACGCGCGCGTCATCAGTTGGTGATGCATTGTGGGACATGGCTGTCGACTCATCGGGACATTGTGAGGTGCTAGATGGCAGTATTCGTAGATCTGAAGCAGAGCCATCTATATACAGAGTTTGGCCAACTTGGTTTCACTGGGTCACAAATGGCGTATATCCGTTTGTGCTGTGCTTGCCCAACAAAGCAGCAGTCGCCATATTGTGACCCACTCGAACCGGGTTGGCCAAACTCTTATATAGATGGCTCTGACCTGAAGTAGTGTCAGTAGAAAACCCTGCCTTTAAGAGGCACATTAGCGCCATTAAAAGAAAATCTATCTATAGGTTTACCCATGAAAGGTGGCTGGTACTTGTAATAGAGGAAGGGAACGTAGACTATTAGCCCAGCCACGATGACCATCGACACAATTAACAGTTCAAGTGGCCCGAAAGCTGCGAAGAAAGATGCGACAATAAAGAACAATGATGCAGCTGCCATGAGGATTGGTAGTATCCAATGGACCTGTTCAGAAAGAAAATCAGATAGTGTTCAAACACACTACACAAAGAATGCGAAGTATAAACTTCTTTACGTTCCTCAAAGCTGCAGACAGTGACCGAAACACTTTGGATTCACATGTTACACCAACAATCAGGAAATGAAACGATAATTCAGTTATCGAATGGAAATCACCATGAAAGGAAAATCTAAACTTAATTGCATATTGCTCTGAAATAAAGCAGAAAATAATAGAAGCAGTTTGGTGAAAGTATGAACGAATAAGAAAGTAGGCCTCTGAACGAATAAGAAAGTTATACACTTTTGAAAGTTGTAATCACTTTAGGTATGTGCTCTTCAAATTGGCTGGATCGGTAATGTCACTTTGATGTAGTGACGGACAACTCTCCCACCTTAAATATTAATTTTCAAAATGTATGACTCAGGATGGTCTTGTCCCTTAAAGTAAACCTATAACATACAATGCAAAAGATATTTTGCGTAGCGCCCCAAGGGAGAAGGCACATGGGAGAAAAACAGTAATTGCCTATAAGGGGTTCGCAAAGATGTGGTGATTTCATAGTTCAATCATTCATAAGTTTATCATGACTCGTCCTATTTATCACAAACTTTCGCCAATTTGTTTTTCTTATTGTCTTCCTTAATACAAATGAACGAATTACAAAGGTTGGATTGCCAAGAACGGTCTCTATTGGTTGGGTCTTGAGTGTATTGTATCGTTTAACAACAATGCAGTAACTTTAATGAAATAAGGTTAAGGACATTATAAACTTGAATGGTTAATGATGGTCTAGTTTGGTCCGCCTTAAAGATAAAGTTGAGTCCTGGTCATGCGATTGCATTGTGAAAGAAAAGGTGTGGAATGGATCAGAAAAAGTTGATCATGTAGCATGTAAATATTGGTGTGTACTGCAAGGTTCTGGAGTCATGAAAATCATAGTAAATTTGGCCCAGTCTTGGTAAAGTAACAAGCACTGTACACAGAAAGATGTATATGGGACTACAAAAATGGTGTCGGGCCTACTTACCTTGATTTCCTTATCTTTCTATGCTCATTACTCAGCCAGGAACATTTTCTACCAAAATTCTTTGGCAAATAACATTTATTTGTAATCTTGAACATTCAGTGTAAGTTTCGTTTGATTCTGTGAGAGTTCATTTTCTTTTTTTACCAGAACTCAAGTTTATCTTTAAGATGAGAGTTTTGCTAGAGACAAGGAATTACATTAAGTTAAGAGAAATATCCTTGAGATGTCTAGGAAGGTTTTGTTTGGTGTAAATTAAGATGAGAGTCGTGCTAGAAATAAGGCATTACATTAAGGGAACTATCCTTGATATGACTAGGAAGGTTTGGTTGGTGTAACTTAAAATGAGAGTCGTGCTAGAGACAAGGAATTACATTAAGTAAAGAGAACTTTCCTTGAGAGGTCTAGGAAGGTTTGGTTTGGTCCATCTTAAAATGAGAGTCGTGCTGGAGACAACGAATTATATTAAATGTAATAAGGAAACTAACCTTGAAAGGTCGATGAAAGTCTGGTTTGGTGTACCTTAAGATGAGCACACTGATAGAGATAAGGAAACTAACCTTGAAAGGTCGATGAAAGTCTGGTTTGGTGTACCTTAAGATGAGCACACTGATAGAGATAAGGAAACTAACCTTGAAAGGTCGATGAAAGTCTGGTTTGGTGTACCTTAAGATGAGCACACTGATAGAGATAAGGAAACTAACCTTGAAAGGTCGATGAAAGTCTGGTCTGGTGTACCTTAAGATGAGCACACTGATAGAGATAAGGAAATAGGATAGCCAGATGGCGAAGCTGAAGAACTCAATCATGTGTTCTAAACTGACCGGGAGCAACAGAGTCATGATTGAGATGAAGCCCTGTAGGTGGAATATAAACATATCTTCATTATTGTAATTAGCATAACCCAAGTCGTTTTTATCTCATATCTCATATATATTATATATCATTCTGAGACTATTTTGTTGCATCACTCTTACAACCGTTTTTTATGGTTTTCGATGAAGTGAAATAACGTTTTGTCAATGGTTCTTAAACAGCATGATGCATGGCAGATATATTTCAATGACCCCTTTCATGTTGCCATGACCACCATCGGAATAACACCTGACGTGAATCGGGTTGTCATCAAGATGCAAATTATACAAGTGTTCAAATAAATACCACTTACATAGAGTTTTAATTCCTAAAACCACATCATTAAAACATATTAGAACTCATACTAACGTTAAAAATCATCAGTTCTAAACAATTTATTTAAAATATTAAAAAAATCCCGGCATATAAACTTATCCAAAATAGTTTGAAACACCGAACTTTTTAAGGAATCTGAAAAATTAACATTTTCTAGGAAATATTTAAGCAGGGTAGCGACATACTGCCCTTCTTACAGGCCCTTCAATTATTAAAATCCTAGCACTCACAAACATGACAAATAGTCTGTATGCATATTGGGTAAAAATGGAATAAATATTCGATTTCGGTGACATTCTATTGTTACAGATTTTTGGTCATATTTTTGTATTTCAAATTCTCTGTGACTGAGGTTAGATTTTCTCCTAGATAATCATGAGTTGAGCTATGATGAATTAAAGGGACATGCGTCCACATGTGTTTTAAATGTTATATTAATAATAATAATAATAATAATGAAAATAATAATAAATAATAATAATAGTGAAAACAATGATACTACTACTACTACTACCACTACTACTACTACTTCTACTACTATTATTACTACTACTACTACTAATAATAATAATTGGGTCTTATCTACCCAGGGTAGCAACATATTGTTCTTCTTGATGGCCCTGAAACTATTATTACCATAGCATTGCCAGGTACCCATTTACATCTGGGTACAGAGGCACAAATGAGGGCAAAACACCTTGTCCAAGGATGTAAGCACCGAGCAAGGATCGAAACTTCTGAACCATATACCACAGCGCTCCCACAATGAGTCATGGGTTACTTTAATGAGGTTATCAATTACTTACTCTTTTTAGTACTCTGTAATGTGGATTGAAATGCACGATTTAAGTTTACTTGCCATAAACCTGCAATTTGAAGTATGAGACTCACCATGAGGAAAAGTGAAAAGTTTGGAGACATGGTATCCGGATTCACCATACCTATAATCTGTGGCATGTGGCCCTCTCGACCAAGAGCTACAGCCATTCTAAAAATCAAAGAAATCACACCAATTCACCTTTACTGGTAGGGTAACTTATCCCTTTCATCGGTATTTTTTTTCTTACTAAAAACATGTTCGAAATGAAATGGAAGTAAATTAATGTACTTGATCCATCACTTTCAAACGATTATTGTACACAGATGGAATACCGTTTACTAAATATCGTCAGAAAGATGCCCCTCTGGTGATTATTTTATTCTCCCTCAGAACATTTACATATATATATATATATATATATATATATATTCATACCTTAAAGGCAGGGTATTCTACTGACATTATTTCAGATTAACATATACTGCCATCTGCTGCTCGCTCACAATGGGGACTTTGCACGTCGACATAGTGGACTGCTACGTGTGACGTCCTTTTAAGGCACATAATTATAGTGGACTGCTACGCGTGACGTCCTTTTAAGACACACGTAGCAGTCCACTATGTCGACGTGCAAATCTAAAAAAAAAAAATCTAAAAGTCCCTAATGTCCCGATGTGTCGACAGCCATGTCCCACAATGCATCACCAACTGCATGATACGAGGTGAGAAGCTAGAGTACGAAAGATAGCGCAACTGAAAATACATTACAGCAGTGGTAACAATGTCAGTAAAAAAAAAAAACACCTGCCTTTAAAGATAAAGTTGAGTTCAGGTCATGTGATTGCATTGTGAAAGAAAAGGTGTGGAATTGATCAGAAAAAGGTGATCATGTAGCACGTCAGTTTTGTACTGCAAGGTTCTGGAGTCATCAAAATCACAATATATTATTTGGCACAGTGTTGGTAAAATACCAAGCACTGTACACATAAAGATGTATGGGACTACACAAATGGTGCCAGGCCTACTTACATTGATTTCCTTATCTTTCTATGCTCATTACTCAGCCAGTATACATTTTCTACCAAAATTGTTTGGCAAATGACATTTATTTGTAATCTTGAACATTCAGTGTAAGTTTCGTTTGATTCTGTGAGAATTCATTTTCTTTTTTTTTAACCAGAACTTAAGTTTATATTTTAGTTGGGTTGGCTCCCTGCTCTCCCCCTCCTTTCCCGAATAAAAATCTGGCTTTGCTAATAAACAAGATAATACTCACCTAGAGTATGTATAACAAATACCATTAGCAGACCCAAAAGCAGCACAACATACAAGAAATGGTAAAAGGCTTTGCAGAAGACTTGTACTACGGGTTGTGTGTCTAGAGAATGACTGAGGAGAAAGGAAAAGTATATTGTTGTTTAACGAGGCAATTCTGTCATAGTATTCTGTCATAGCCAGGTTTTGTTTAAAGGAAACCTGATTCCCAAATATAATTGTAGTTATACTGAAAGACGTATTGTATTCTTGCCAACATTCTCCACGAAAGTGTATGAGGTATGAAAGAGGCATAAAGCAAGAATAATGTATAGTTTCGAGGTACGACATGGACATCGCCATTTTCTTGATTGGTTCTCTTATGGGGTGAATGTTTCGCATAATTGGGATAGATTTGTCAACTGCTATATATTAGTATTTTAAATAAACGAGTTATAAAAGTTCCCCTGTTATATATTTTTCACCAAATATAATGTTTACCTTTTAAGCTATTATTTCCCTCATTCAACAGTTATGGTTTTGTTATTGAATTAAAAAGTCTTTCCAACTAAAGCTTTTATATGTACAACTTTGCCTGGTACGTCACATTTTCAAGAAAATAGCTCATGTCATGCTAAAAAGCATTGCATCATGCCAAGAATGTCTTCAATTATAAATCCCTTGTACACTTTCGTAAGGAATAGTTAAAGGGCAAGAATAAATCTCATTTTCATAATATCTACACTGTCTATAGTCTTGTTTTCTAGGGCGAGTTGTGTTTTTCTAACGGTTTTCACAACACTACAGTCTATTGGGGAAAACGACTATGGTAAAACCGGTCACTCAAAGATTTTTACTTTTTGAGGCACCTCTTGATTCAATATTACACCATATCACAGACACTGCTACCACGTAGGGCCGTGCGTCTCAGATTTAACATTGTTAAACGATGCCTTTAAACTTTATTAAGCCTCTGTTACACAAGAGTTTACTGTTTTCTAACACTACATGTTTCGTTGTTTAATTAAGTTATTTGTTTGTGCTACTTGCGAAGAGTGTATAATTTTCTCATTTTGCCCAAAATGGTACATACTCTGTTATGGCAAACAAATTACAATGTCCAGTTGATCTAACTAACTTACTATTTTTGTTCTGTTTGCTTTCAAACGCACGTATACCTTGGTGTAGGCATGTACTGTTCTAATTTGAGATGAAATAACGCTAACTTGTTATGGGCAGCAATGTTACCGAACGAAACATATCTTCACAAAATAAATTAAGGCATCATTATTATAGCATGAACATAACCATAAATACATAGTTTGTTCATTATAATCTAAAGAACTGACATAGTCTGATCAAGAATATCCTCTTCACTACATTGAGCTTTTCTCAAAACTATACTAAATTAAAATGTTTTTATGTATGCGAAGAATGCAATGGCTCCTAGTTTGAGATATATTGATCAATGAAATGTCTTAATGACTAATGGGAATAGATAATATCTTACCGTTGCTAAAGCTTCGGCGTCAAGGACGTCTTCTGGACTGAGTACGGTGTAATAGGAGACATTGACCAAGACATACAGCACTGTAATGGTTGGCATGGCAATCATTATAGCTCTGGGCAGAGTTCTGTTCGATCAGAGAGAATTTACAAGATGAGTCGATTGCAAGAGATATGTTAAGTTACAACATTTCTGTGCAAAAGGTAAATGGTAAGCTTTACTGTTGCGGGTAGAACGATTCGTTTTGGTTAAAATGTAATCCTTCATTTATAATAAGTTCATTTGTATTACAGCAGGAAAAGAAAAAAAACGGAATTTAAATTATTCAGAACAATCATATTAAAAAGATATATGAATGTTTGAAATATGACACAGTGTATCACTAAATCTATGCGAATCTAAAATTAGCAATGGAGTCAGTGAATTATTGTGACGTAGTCATGGACAATTCTCACACTATTTCTTATTTCTTGTCTGATTTGATTCAAAATTTCATTAGTCTGCTTTTATGATTTCTCTTCTTTGTTTTAGAGCAGTTGTCTATCAACATTGGATTCTGGTCAAATTCAAAGGAGAAAATATAGAAACGCATGACTTCGTTCACACGTTCAATGCGATTGGCTTTGTGTAAGAAATTTGATATCTCCTTTATATTGTATCTTTCGTGAGGAGTTGCTTCCTGACATGCAGATAATAAATTCATCGCCGCTCGTCAACTTTGAAATAAATCATTATCTTAGGTCATAGATGTGTGTCACTTACTTCGCAGGTTCTTTCATTTCTTCCATGGTATATGTTAAAGTGTTCCTGTAAAGAACAAAATACACGAATATTTTAGTGGTCTATTCATCGAACCAAAGTATTTCCATCCTGCTTCTCCTCCCCGTATATACAGCTAGTCCTTCAAAGGGAGTAAGGCAAAATGTATACCTTAATTTGGGGAGAGGGGGAAAGGGGGAAACCAGGATTCGTTGACAGGTGGGAACGATCTTCAGCGACAACACGGCGGCAATGGACGAGTGGGTGCGGCAGGAAACAGAGTCTAGCGAACAAAATCGGAGGTTGTCTGGGCGGCGAGTGACGATGTTTATAAAACGTGAAAAATCGCACTAAAAGTTTAAAATCGTGAAACATCGTTGCAAAATCGTAACCCATCGCCGACCACCGTTGCAATGTCGTTGGTACTCGCAAACGACCCGCCATATCAACAGTCATCACCCGTCACCCTCCGGCCAAAATTCGCAATCCATCGTCGCACCAAGGTCGTTTACAATTTCGTTACTTGCCGCAATGTGTCGTCAGGGTTCGAGATGTGACGTCACTTGCCGTTGTTTTGCCGTCGTCGCTAACACCGACTACCAACGGAATTGTGACGACGGACGCGACTGATAATTTCGGCCGTTTGCGGTCGCTAGCGGATTCATCAGCAGCAATAATATTGAAGGCAACACACGATGATTGGCGGGAAATTCAAAATTGCGTTTCGCAGCTTAACGTAGTTTGCGGTACCCCCAATTTGTCATAGTGCGACACCCTTTTAACAATATTTCTCCCAACCATTTTTGAATTTTCCCGACCGTTTGTCCATGAAAAAAAGGCATAAGACATGCTTTTAAAAATCTGTCAACACTGAAATTTGTCTGGAATGGTATATAGAGCCAATTCATTGCCATGACGATTTACATTCACCTAAAATGTAATTACATTGTAATAATATAGTTCGGAGAATCAAGGAGTCGGCAGGATCAGTTTTTCCCAAATTTGTATCATTAATGGTCTGTTTTCACTCAAACTTTCAGATTATCTTTAATTGTACATCTAGCATTGAAATGAGTACCTTAGCACTATTTTCTTTTATCTGAAAATGTTACCAAGTCCCTTTAATTATTGTAGTAAATACATTCAATGAGGCTATGCAAAAAGATGTTAAACAATAGGCATATCTAATATGAAGAAAAATGTTTGACTATGGGTTCATATTTTCTTAAGAGTGAAATCAATCATTTACAATTTCACGTGAACCCATTAAACACATACTTGTATTCCGTGCTATTTTTCCTCTGTACTCAGATAACAATTTTTTTCTGTTCCTCCAGTAAACATTAAAAATATATAAAACATTTCATTATATGCATCCTCATATTCAAATATACTGAATATTATAAGCAGTTGCACTTTCATAACATTGATCAATATGGGTCTGTGTATAATTTAAATTTCAATTTATCCATGTATCCAAGAAAAAAAACATTACCAATCAATTATAAGCATTTAAAACAAATGTAAAAAAAAAATACAAGTTGGAAACAGAGGGGTCCACTATAAAGCAATGATTGTACAAGTGTGAACACCTCAAATGATACTTAGGAATAGTGCGTAATTAAATTAACTAATCCGTAACTACAAAGGAACTACAAAATAGGGGAAAGAAAAAGGGGGATGCCAACAGAGACGAGAAAGGGACAAGACAATACTTTACATGACAAAGATAGAAGAACACGGTCATTTTCTACAAATAGCACTTTTCATGTTTCGCTTACAAAATGGTCTACTACCTTCATACTTTCCCCCATTGTTTAATTTGAATAAAACCATCCACTCTTACCCCACAAGACAAACTGAAAAATTCCATTTAAGAAATCCAAAAACCGCATTGGCTTTCAAATCCATTAGACACGCCGGCCCAGACATCTGGAACTCTCTGCCCATTGAAATAAGAAACCTTAGGACATTGTATTCTTTTAAGAAGGCAGTTAAAACTATGTTATTGTCTAAGTATTGATCATGTCGTGTGTAATTCTACTGTATTCATGTTCGCGTGTACATTGACTGTATATTCAACAATGATGTGTAATCGTCCATGACCTAGCATCGTTTTTCCATTCATGAATGAACCTTCATTCAATCAGCAGATGTATGAGATTTATTGTATTATTACCAACGCTCCTCCTCCTCCTCCTTCTCTCCCCTTTCCTTTTCTTTTCTGCAAGTCACTCTTTTTTTTTCTTTTTTTTTTTGTATTGTTGTATCTAAGTTGAGGGCTGCCGGCACGTCAAGCTACTTTGCTTATTTATGTAGCCCTCCTGCATCTAATGTATGTTAATTATGCATTCAATGTATATGTTTAAATTCAATATATTTGTTTAATATCGTTTATTATCTGTATAAAATTATATACACTTGAAATATTGTATCAAGCCATATTATGTTCATGAAAATGTATGATGAAAAAAAGAAAAAAAATGCAGAAACTAATAAATCAAATCAAATCAAATCAAAATACAAAGAGTAGACAATGACAAAAAGAAGTGAGAGATCAGGGGTATAGAAAATAATACAAAATGATGAGCTGCATGTGGGGTTGAGAAGAAGATAAGGAAAGGTAACTGCGCATTAGAAAAGAAATAAGCATGAGAAGGCACAATATAAAAATTTAAATTGAATTACATTTTGAGTCAGCGAGTGGAGAATGATCTTGTATTCAACAAAAAAAAAAAAACGACATATACTTCAATGATAATGATCCAATGATTGAGTGGAATGGCACGTGTCCCGTAGAGAGACCTGACTCTACGTATAATGGGGAAAAAATAGTTTGTATACAATTAATTGCAGGGTATCAATATTGATAAAATAATTGTATTATCATTTTCATGATAACTTTGTGCCCAGTAGGGATGTCACTTTACCTATAATGGGTAAAAAATAGTTTCTATACAATTAATGGCAGGATATCAATATTGATAAAATAATTGTATTATCATTTTCATGATAACTTTGTGCCCAGTAGGGATGTCACTCTACCTATAATGGGTAAAAAATAGTTTCTATACAACTAATGGTAGGGTATCAATATTGATAAAATAATTATGTTATCATGTGCATGATAACTTGGTGCCCCGTAGAGATGTCACTGTACGTATGATAGGTAAATAGTTTCTATACAATCAATGGCAGGGTATCAAATATTGATAAAACAAATTGTTATCTTCATGATTACTTGGTTAATTCTCAATGAGGTTCATGCATTTTAGATTATCGAGGTTGCGCAGCGTGACCAAACACATACAAACATTGATGATAAGATAAAAACATCTTTTTGTTTGGCTTATAGCCAATACAAAGTCTGCGAATGTTGGGAAATGATTATGAGGACGGGTGTGTCTAGCACCGTCCCCTCCAAAACATTTTTAAATAATCAGGGTGTATCCTGAATAATGAGCACAACTATGCTACTAATATACTATGCTCTGTAGAGCTCTAAAATGAAACGCTTCACCATTTAAAAATGGAAAATTCCTCTGTTCGGTCGCTACCCTTTCATATATATCGTACATCGTGTTATTTAGTCAGAGCATACGTTGAGTTCATACAAGAGCTAGTGAATGCAATGTTGAACAAGACCGATACTATGAAATGCATGGTCGACGATTGATCACTCTCCTTGGAAAATCGTCGTGGGGATTGCCCCCAAGAAAAAAAATAAAGAAAGCGCTATAAATTGCCTAAATAATGATTTAGCGCTGCTCAATCACACGAAGAGAAAACAGGAAAATACAGAGATGAGAACCAGATTTTAACTTGTACATGTTGTATGTGAAATCAAAGGCTATAGTAAACACATATCATTTACCATTGTTAATAATGACAAGTTTTTTCTTGAGCAAATTGCAAAATCGTTTTACACGGGAGTGGGAGCCCTCCTCCCTCGGTCGCTGAGTTTCAACGAATGTCCTATCATAACACGCAATCGTTGCCCCTGACGTACCACCACCAGTTCCACGCCAACCACAATTAAAAACACCAATAGCACGATCATAACCAGTACCACATCCACCATCATCACCACAACCACTAATATCAATATCATCACAATGACCATTACCACCTACATTACCACCACCACCACCACTACCATAATCATCACCACCGCCACCAGTATCATCACCATAAAGATCAATATCAATATCACCTTAATTATCACTATCATCAACGTAACCACCAATATCAATATCACCACCATGGCCATCGCTACCTCCACCACAATCATCATCATCACCGTAACCACAAATATATGATAAACAGGGGAAGCGCAAACAATATGCCTGGTATACAACTTATATAATGGCTAGTTCGACTACTAAATATTTATCATCTTTCTAATCTCTTTCTTGTCTGGACCCCGTCTTGTAAATAGTTGCGATTTGATGAAGTTTCTCATTTAGTACTTGTCTTTTTCTTTTTTTTAAAAGGAGATTTTAAACAAACACTGAATGAGCCAAAAATCTCTTTCAATGATATTAAAAATCATGTCGTGGTAATCCTGATTACCAACCAGCTATACAGAAAGATCGATTGATATGTCATTAATAAAATATTGCATTTAAATCCATTATTGATCAATATAATTTGTCACCTCTAAACTTGTTTATTTATCTATTTTACTTATGTATTTGTTTGCTTGTTTGTTTGGTTATTCATGTGGGCTTACTTTTGCTTATTTATTTATCTATTTTACTTATGTATTTGTTTGCTTGTTTGTTTGGTTATTCATGTGGGCTTACTTTTGCTTATTTATTTATTTGATTAAAAGTAGTTATTTATTTATTTATCTATTCATGTTTTTAATTATGTATTGTATATTTATTTCATTTATTCATCACGCACGCGTCATCAGTTGGTGAATGAGATAGTAGTAATGATAATAATAATAATAACAATGGTAATAATAATAAATATACAGCCCACCTGATAATATTACTAATGATAATAATAATAATGATCATGATAATAATAATGATGATAATAATAATATTACTAATGATAATAATAACAATGATTATGATAATAATATTAATATATACACGATCGCAACTACACTACTGGCTATAAAGTTCGAATAAGTTTTCATTAAATGATTTTGACAATATGGTTTATTCTTAAAAGATAAAGTTAATCTTCTCGGAACTTTATTGGTCAATCTTTTTGTACTAATCTGTATTGGTCAGTGAAGTTCTGAGAAGTTATAAACTTAATCTGTGAAGAATAAATCATATTGTAAAATCATTTCATGAAAAGAGGTAAAACAAATTATTCAAATTTCATGGGCAAAAGTGTATTTCCAAAAAGTCAACCTGAAGCAGTTTCAATAGCCTTGAGCGTCACCTAGCTATAACAATGTACCGACATGACAATGAGGTATTACGTAATCCGAAAATATGATTTCTATGGGATGTACAAGAGGGTAGTGAAATCGCCCTTAAGTTAATCTTCGAAAATAGTTGCGATCGTGTTTATAACAACAACAATAACAACAAGTAACGATAAAGCCTTATAATAACAACAACAATAACAACAAGTAACGATAAGGCCTTATAACAACAACAATAACAACAAGTAACGATAAAGCCGAACTTACCATCCTTCATAAGCAAACATTCCTGAAAAGAAGGCCATCCCAAACGAGAAGACATTTTTGTTGGTGCCCTCGAAAGATGAACTCACATTCAAGTAGTGCGTGTACCCTAAAAACAAAGAAGATACTTGTACTACAGACGGATAGCACTTTTTCTTCAGTCGCTCTCTCTCTCTCTCTCTCTCTCCCTCCCTCTTTTACCATTTTTAAAGCAAAGATAAGGGGTCCACGGCCGATTCAAGCACACCCCCTTGGATCTGCCACAGTTAATCAAAGGTATTCGAACCCATAGCGAAGGTTTACGAACCATAACCAATTAATACAAACCCATAGCGAAGGTTTACGAACCATAACCAATTAATACAAACCCATAACGAAGTTATAGGAATCCATGACGAAGGTATTCTTATTATTTCTCTATTGCAAACAAAAATTGTGGTTGGATTTCAAATAAAAAATAAAAATACAAAACAGATAAATAATAATGGTAAAATGTACACAAAGTCATAGAAAATGTCGAGTCTGATACATAAATATTTGAATGAGAATGTGCTACAATTGAATTATTACACTTAAAATAAATTAAAGTCAGCTAATGGGTACAATATTTCATAAAGATTGTATATAACGTCAGAATTAATTAGGGTATATGTGTGTTATAAATGGAGCAATTTATTAAAGACATTCATAATAATAATGAATCGAGTTGTGAGTGATGGTATCGTGTGTCGTCTGTTGAGAGACCGAAGGGCGTTAACTCAAATTCATTACATAGACCCAACACCCTCTCAGCTCTCAACAGACAATATGTCATATAAATTTATTGAAATCAAATAATGAAATTAACAAACTGAGCCTAGAGTATGGAGCATGATTTCGGATCTGCTGTACAATTAATAGTATTTAAAGGAAGTGAAACTTAAAGTAGACATTCATTAGTTTTAAATATTGATTTAATTTGTCTCATTGCATAAGGGAATGTTAAATCTAAGAAGGTTATCGAAATTTAGCGTTTGGAAACATTCAAAGGACCGATTATGATCAATTTTAAAACGGTAAAATGCAGCCCCACTCTCGCACTTGAAGAGCTCTCCGAACACCGCCGGGATTTGTGAGGTCACACAAGGGACCAAATTAGTATAAGCAGGCGATGTCCCATAACAATGCACACGTTTTTAGTGCTTGTCTCGTCGTCTCCTATTCACTTATTTCCCTTACTTGACCAGTGTTATTCTGACGGTTTCATCTGTTGCCTCACTCTACATTTCGGACATGGTTTTATTTTGGAAACATTTCAACATCCAGTGAGGAGAAAGAGTACAAAGTTTCAATTTCAATTTATGAATGTCATGTGAGCATGATACGATTGATTAAATAAAAACCAAATGAGACTGATTAAACAAAAGATATATATATATATATATATATATATATGTATATATTGTGCGATTTGAATCATAACAGAGAATGGAAACCAATAGTACTACTAGTACCCGCAAGTTAAATTGACACCATGCAGGGAATGGAACTATTCTTATATCTGTTAGTTTTGCATTTAGTTGGATAGTTTCCCCGAGGGTGTATCATTTTTCCCTTGGGACAGGAAGGACAGAGTTTAACTTATGTTTAGAACACTTCATTTGGGTAAACAGATTTACACACAATCTTCTTCTACGTTCAGCCAATATTGTAGTGCTAAGGGGGTTCAAGGGCATTCTCGTATGATAGCTCCGTTGTTATGATTCTTAGGGCCCTTTTCTGAATTGGATCTAAGATGTCAGATTGATCCTTCTTTAAACCACCATGGAATATCTGGCATGCATATTCTAGAATTGACCGGATACATGCACCAACTTTTGAATGTACGAATGATATAAAGACGTTTTGTGTAATCAGAACATGATTTATATAGGATATACAATGAGGTATTGAAATTGTTTGTTTTGGGGGCATTTTGAAAGAAGTTGCGATCGTATTAAATAAGGTATATGAACCCATAACGAATATTTACGAACCCACAACGATTGTAGTACGAACTACCAACGAATGTATACGAACCCAATGAGATGTTGATCATGCCGTTGAGGATGATGAGGAGCAGTGTAAAGACATTGAGGCCGGTAAAAATCACCTGGAGTTTTGAAATGAGCTTCAAACCTGAACCATGGACTAGCATCAGGAATACTAGAGTACATACAAGAGAATAACAGTTTAAGTATTCGATTGATTGAAATCACAGTAGTAAATCATGAAGTCGCTACAAAATTATGAAAGACGTTCTAAAATTGTTGGTAATAACCAAAGGCAAGTATAATGATGCTATCAAACATTTAGAGCAGCGTTTTTAGCCGGGGTACCCCGGCACCCTGGGGTGCCATAGGACATCACGAGAGAATTAACCAACATCTATTTTTTGATCCATTATGAAACAAACATCACTTTCGTGAACACAAAATATTAGAAACCGCTGTGTTTCATTAAGAAATAAAATTTTTATGACAATTGAGTGTCTTCTTTCCTCGCTCGCAACATTAAGAAACAATATGATTTTAGATGAAGTGCCTGAATACCCACATAATTAGTCAACGATGTGCTAAAATATCTCTTTTGACAGTGAGGTGCCCGAATATTGTCACATTCGGGCAGATAATTAACCAACATCTATTTTAGAAATAAAATGTGTACATGGCATTTGACGTGTACCAGAGTGATGGAAAATGAATCTTCTGTAATGACTGTGGGAGGTCGATGTGAAACCTTTTATTTCTCAAAAATGTGCAGCGAACTTAAAAAGGTTGAAAAACGCAAATGGAGAGTATATATAAACTGAGTTGAGATAGGATATAATGTTTCATAACGATTCATACTTTAAACCCTTTGAATAATATTTTTTTAGAAATATGATGATATACGTATACATTGTGTAGCTATTTTTTTCTTTTTGGGTATAAAGTATAGCGATTTAATGGCTCAATATTCGGCCTTCTAAAAAAGGAGATTGCCAGATTTTTTCGGCTGATAAACATATCGCTAAAGAAACGAACTGCTACTAAATTGTACTGGGAATTAAAGTGTATTTTTATTGTCACATACTCTCATTGTTCAATGAATATAACAAAGACTCCCTATCTATCATAAACAAGATATTGATAAATATGAATGCAGGAGCGGCGGAGCGTCTTCCAGAATGGAGGCACCAATAAAACAGGGCACGTTCTGGTAAAAGGGGCACCTACAAAGGGAAACCTCAAAGCGAAAATATAATTTTTTTAGACATTGGAATATACTACATTTTGATTACTTTATCACGGATGATTTCAATATTTGTTTCTCCCTTTACGTGATCCAAGATACTACTTAGCAGTATAACGTGATGGTCTGAATTTGCGAGTGACCGAAGCGAGTGAGCAAAAATGTAAAATATTTGTGAGGTCGCAATGCGAAATGTCACGTTTTTTAAAGAGGAAAAAAAAATCAATCCTAATGGAGTTTTAAGCACAATATAATCATGAAAGACCGGAAGTGGCTTTAATAAGAAACATAATTATGTCTACCATTATTGCGAGTGAGCGTAGCGAGCGGGCAAGCTTTGGGGAAAAGTAAGGAAAAGTTGTTCTTAGTCGCTTTAAATTATTGGCACATGTTATAGTAAAAGAAATCAAAGAGGAAAAGACACTTAGAAAAGGAAAATTGCCATTTGAATAGATTTGAATAGGGGCATCTATCAGAGATGAAAAGGGGCATTTATGAAAAAGGAAAGAAGTTCTGATAAAATAGGAATACGGGGCACGTAGCAAAATAAAATGGGCAGTTATCAGAGATGAAAAGGGGCAGTCATAATAAAGGAAAAGGACATTCGTTGAAGAAAAAGGGGCAACTGTGAGATTTTAATAATGAAATTTGTCAGAGATGAAAAGGGGACTTTGTGAAAAGGGGAGAAGCTCCTGTCAAAAGAAAAAGGAGCACTTATGAGTAGTAAAAAAGGGTACTTATTTGGAAAGAAAAGCGGGCACGTGTCAAAATAAAAGGGGCACTTATCAGAAGGAAAAGGGGCACTGTATTTGAAAGGTAAAGGGGGCACGTGTCAAAGTAAAAAGGGCACTAATCAGAAGAGGAAGGGGCACTTCTTACATAGGAAAATGGGTACTTGTTAAAGTAAAAATGGGCACCTCTCACATTTGAATAGGGGCAATTTTAAGAGGTAAGGGGGCACTTATAACAATGGGAACGGGCATCTATGTGAAAGAAAAGGGGGGGGGGCACTTATCTGAAGTAAAACGGGGCACATTTCATATGTAAAAAGGGGCACCTTTGGGGTACTCAACAAAATTGGGGGAGGCACTCCGCTCTCCTGCCAACCCCCCCCCCCCCCCCGGAGCGCCGCCTCTGTATAAATGTTCCTAGAGTTCCTATCTTTTATTAACAAGACAAATTTAAAGTTAAGTATATCGAAATCATGAAACTTATTTTCCATGATAAAACGAAAAGTGATAAAATAATAACAACAACAGCATGCAGTAGAAACATAAATTAGGTTAAAATGAAAAGATGGATATTTACTGATAAATGTAGCAGCATGCAACCTGACCATTGTGTCATCTCGGTAGCACAAAGTATCGCTGAAGTATGGGTAGAAGATGTATTCACCCATTACTATACTCGAGATGGCTAAGCTCATTGGTTTGAGTACTAGTAATGCACCCCAGCCGTGTAGGAAAGCTAGCACGTTCCCATATGTCTCATGTAGATATGTGTGATCACCACCAGACTTAGGAAACATCAACGCAAGCTCGGAAAAGATGAGGGAACCTGACAAAAAGTATGAGAGCATCTTGATGAATATAAGGACATCTCATTAAATGTATCAGTTAATGGATACATGGATGTATAACATGACTCCTAACCACATACAGAATATTCCAAGTTTGTTGGTAAATTAATCAAAACTCCACATTATTTTTAGAATAATTTGTACATCATTGGAAAGCTTACTTTCTCTTTTTCCATGTGACATACACAATGTATGAACCATGATCAAGAAGCCACCAATGACTGATTCCAGACAGTCTGAAGTAGAAGTGGCAAAACCTAAATGGTCCAAAAGAATCGATCGAATGGCTGCTTCATTATTATTTTGTGCGCATTGTGCTTTTTTAGGAAAGGAAAGGAAATACACATCATGTAACAGCTCATAATCTCATCTTCCACATGGCACCATAAGGCCTAAAAAAAAGATGTTGTATTGCCCTTTAGATGCCAGAACCTCGGTCGGTCGGTCGAATATCTTTGTTGCTTTTTCCCCCTCAAAATACCGACCGTCGCCCCCCAAAAACCTCAAAACCGGGAACGTCGCCCAAATCTCGCTGGTTTCTAGCCGGGGCAGTGCATGTACACGAGGCCGAGTCTACTTGTTTACGCTAGCAGGATTTCGAAACTAGTGCAGAAGACGAGTTAGAATTTTGGAATAGTTTGATGATTTTATAGATTTATATCCTATTTAAACAAACAAAATACATATTTGTTTATTTATTAAACGTTTGTTTTTCTAACAAAGGGTAAAAATGAACTTAATTTAAAAGCCGACCGAAGATTTTGAGATGTATGGGTTGGTCACAAAGGGCAAAACAACATCTTTTTTTTTTTAACGCCTAATCATGTCAGAATCACGCTGGGACCGAGCAGGCACAATTGGTAATGGCATTTGTTCAACAATTTCATTTTCTAAAACAAATTTGCATGAGCTTAACCTATTGCAAATTATGCTACCTGCTCCCTCGTGCGTGATCCTTTTATTCTGATTATGGTCATATATGAAAGAAGGGATTATGAGCTTTTCAATGACGTGCATATTTAAAAATTATTAATTAAATATCATTTAATATCATTCTGAGACCATAATGACCCAAAGGTAACCGTCATCCACTTAATTTGGACTATTGGGTTTCTGACACTGCCATTTCCGGCTGTCTGAAATTAAGCATGCGTTCCTTCTTGATCACGAGTTTGGTGTCATTATGAAAAACGAGAAATTGAGCTTTCCAATGATATATATATTTACCAAGGAATAATGTGAAATTATTGTGTTCTTTACTTCCAATTTGGATGTCCCTTTTTCAGAGGCTTGTATCAGACATGTATTAAGGTATTGGAGTGTGTAAACGGTGCCATTATCAATATCAGGGCCCCGTTCCATAAAACTCACCGTTGATGGAAACTTTGCCATCAATGGCAACTACATTTACCATGGTAACAGGGCTCAACAGCCAATCAAAATCAAGGTTTCCATGGTAGTTACCATTGATGGCAAAGTTACCACCAATGGTAAGTTTTGTTCAACGAGGCCCCGGTGCCGTTTCACACTTACATGGTTATTCATATTATTATTAATTGATCTATTTATCCATTTACTTGCTTATTTATTCATTTATTTGTTTATTTATCATCATAATCATAATCATTATCATCATCATTATCATCATCATCATCATCTTCATCATCATCGTCGTCATCATCATCATCATCGTCGTCATCATCATCCTCGTCATCGTGGCACCTAGGAATAAGAACACCTATCATGCCTATCATTCCTAATTGGGATTATATTATTCCGCTGTGTATCTTCCCTGTCTTTCTATACCATTGTACTCTTTGTCTAATATTGAGGATAATAATACTGATTTTTGACATAAAATGCAAGTTAGCAAAGCGAGCGAGGGTTCAGAAAGATGGAATGTATTTGCTTACCTATCGTGGCAATAACACCACATAGAAACCAGACTATGAGGCTGGCCCCAAAGCTTCCACTGTACGCCAGAACTCCTCGTGGTGATATAAATATACCAGTACCGATCATGATACCAAGGAGTAAAGATACCGTGCTACCAAGCCCTAACCGTCTGGACAAGATAACAGTACTGCTGTTCTTTCTCCAGAATCTTGCTGATATTGCACTGAGGATGGTAGCAGTCCTGGTCCGATGCATGCTACCATGCGTGGCCTTTTCTGTGTAACCATCCTCCATTTCGCTTGCTGAATTTGTGGAATAATGAATCTTGAACCGGCTTAATTAAACTCACTTCTGAATGTTCGAAGTTCTTAATGAGACAATGATTTCCACGCGCAATCCACACTACCTTTCAGACTGACTAATCAAGTGCTGTGTATACACTTAAGTAGTAAGAACTATCAACTGCCAGTCAATATTATGAAATTGAAATATTGTATGTATAGACCTTGCTCTGATAACACTCGCCTGATAATCTCTGTTAGTCATTGGGTGTTACTCTCTATCCTAACATAACCTGCTGAAATACCTTCCATGCTTTTCCCTTGAACTTTGTGACGAGTTAATGCACTTTAAAGGCATCGTTTAACAATGTTAAATCTGAGATGCATGGCCCTACGTGTTATCAGTGTCTGCAGTGATAGGGTGTAATATTGAAACCCTAAAGAGATTACTCTTCAAAATGATCATGAAGTGCCTAAAAAAAGTAAAAATCTTTGAGTGACCGGTTTTACCGTACTCATTCTGCCCAAATAGTCTGTAGTGTTATGAAACCCGTTAGGAAAACGAATTTTTAAATTTAGAATTCCAATCATAAATATCTTGATAATCAGACGGGCGATCGGCTTGTAAAAGTCATGGGGTTCCTGACTGACCCCAAAAAGGTTTATAAGTATCATTGCAGCATAAACTAAATCCAGAATTTTGTTTCAGGATTCGAGACAAAGTTACTCAATCCCTTCAAAAACATAATCAGACTGCCATGGTGAGTTCAAATTTTAAGAAACAAACTTTATGTTTTACACAGTTTGAAACTAAGAAATTATATGTTCGACCTCGTAGTTACTGTGATAAACAATCATACGGTTTTATAGAATGGGTAGAAAAATCCCTGCAATCTGATTGGTCAATTACCGTGCAGGTTTGTTTACTGGCTGCACGCGATATCAACACGAAACATGCGCTATCGGGAATAGATTTAAACATATATTTTTATCTTTTTAAAACTATAAGTGCCCCTTTTTCATTCTCATAAGTGCACCTTTTCATATCCGGTCAGTTCCCCTATTCAGGTGCGATAGGTGCCCCTGTTAACAATGATACGTGCCCCTTTTTCTTTTCTAAAGAGGGACATATCCCCTTTTCATAAATGCCCCCCTTTCTTTTTTTTCTTTTTTTTTTTCATGTTAAGGGAAGTCATTACATTTGTCTTTATTCATTGCACGAACAAATTATAAATCTGTAAAATAACACAAGTTTGTATTTTTGAACATATTTTTGGTACCAGACCGAAATAATCATATCTGATTGATACACGTCTGTAAAAACCCAAATTATGGGTAATGAGATATAATGTGCATGACCTATATCGTTCCTTGTCTTGATGACGTGGATTCAGCATTAACTAGATGTAACGAATATAGATGTGTAAGCATATTCTATTCTAGTAATATCCCTTTCTCACTAACTTTGCTGGACCGATCTACGCTAGAACGATCCACTGGACCCCCGGCCCCCCCCCCCCCCCCCCCACACTCAGGGGTCGGAATGACCGCATGCGTGTTGCCAAAATATCCGGTAAAGGGGTGCTTTTCGTGCGACAAAGTCCGGCCCGAGAATTGTAAAAAAAGGGTTGTATTTGACTTTTCACCCGGAGATTTCTTTAAAAAGGGGGTGTTTTTCCTTTTTTTTCTCTCATCTCTTTGGACTCCTGAGAAGTTATTCAGAATTTAGGGGGGTACATTGAGCATTTTTCCTGATTAAGGGGGGTCTCCATGGCAGGAAAAGCCCGCGAAAAGCCCGCGAAAGGGGGGTTCGGAAATGTTGGCAGTCCTCAGATAGGGGGTGCTTTCAAAAAGAGGGAACGAGCATATGCGTACCCTAAATAACACTGAGTGGGGGGGGGGGGGGGCGGGACTGGACCGCTTCAGAAGTACGGTTCGTTTGGTTTCACACTCGTCATAATTTTAACACTGATGAGACACGTGATGCCACAGAAGCAGGAACCGTTCATGTTGCTATGACAGCACGGGTCATTTTCCGATGAATCTAACTGAACGTACATCTGGCATGCAAGTCATCGCTTTGTATTGTTCCCCTCTTAAAATTACTAGATATCTTCCTCTCATCTTCTCTTTCTATCTTTCCTTATGTTATTCTTTGATTTCCCATCTATCATCCTCTCTTATTTTTCTTTGTTTTTATCATTCTATCATTTCCTCTTTTTACTTTTATCTTTGTTTTTTTCTGACATCTTTGACTGTGTTATTCTTTTTCTCTTTACTTGTCTTTTCTTGTTATTTCTCGTTTTTCCCGTCTATCATTTTCTATTCTATCATTCCGTTTTTATTCATAATCTTTACCATTCTATCATCTTCTTTTTCTATCTTTCCTTACGTTATTCTTAGTGTTAATGATTTTATCATCTTCTCTCTATCTTTCTTTATATTTTTTCTTTGTTTTCTTGATCATGGTCATGGAGCATTTTAAGGAAGCTAAGACCTAACTAGTCCAGAGGTACGCTTCCTGGCCCGGTTGTGCTTTCACACTCACCGTGAGACTGCTCTAACGTAGACCGGTCCAGGAAGTGAGTGAGAAAGGGGTCTTATACATGCGCTAATTTTTTTCCCCGTATCTTATCATTTTGATTTCTTATTAATGAATTGATATCAGTTTGGGGGGACATAAAGCAAAAAGTGGATCATGCTATGAGGAGCCAGTTTTTATCCATGGTTCGATTTAATGACATTTCGAAGCTTTTAAGATTTTTCATAATATTGCTGTAATTTTTTGTAATATTATGAAAATTGCTTCATCGAGTGCTGACCGTCTAATATTTGTTTTTCAGAAAAACTTATTCAAACTCAACAGGTGTGTAAGTAATTGTATCATAATTGTGTGAAGGACAAACTAATAATACGTCCGTGAGAAATATTTGGAGGGGGTAATATTAGGTAGGGCATTAACATTCTTCATCTTCACGGCACCTCCATTCACTAGATGAGTAGATGACTCGGGCCTTTGTTCATGCTGTTATCTGGAGCTTTATCAAACACTTTAGACCTTTGACAACCAGCAGGGCGTAATGCTGTGTCATGTTTGTAAAGATCTCTTCATAGTATTATTTCGTCGTTACACCGTATATCATACCACATAATATGGGCGGTCCGCTGCCATCCGCTGCAAACAAAATTATCAATCATCAAATAACACCATTTGTTTATTTATTTCTATAAATGGATATATAACAAATTTTATAGATTATTTTCTATTTATATTACAGAAAGATTGCACTACAATGTTAATGGGATTTGTAGGATGGGGAAAAAAGTTCGTATCACGAAAAATGGTTTTGGACAAATTCCAAGTTCTCGTTATTTATCAAATTTATCATATTTCGAATTTCGAAATGAGAAGATACAGAGCATTTAATTACTTTTGATAGTATGTTTATTGTTATTTTCACCATTGCTTGTTATCATTATTGGTTTTATTGATATCATAATTATTAATATTATTTGTATTATTTTAATTATTACTATTATTATTATCACCATTATCATTATCATCATTTGCTAAAAAAACAATGACAATATTTAAAAAAAAACAAGACTGCGTCTGCGTCTCCTATGCCTATGCCCTACATTTAGTATAAGAAATGAATTGAATTGTTCGTCACATATTACGATGAAAACAAAAAGCCTATGTAATTTAGTTGACCTATTGCTTACCAGGCCTCCTGCTACACCAGAGTTTATATGATATATATTTGTATATATTTAATTTAATATAATTGTATTTGAATGTTATATTGCTGTAAGTTTTTTTTATTGGATGTGAAATAAACTGACTTGAACTTGAAATGAAAATATACGAATATTTTGTTCACGGTGGGGTTTTTAAAACCTGTATTGATATCGCCAGATAAATGATGAAAATAAAATCAACTTCTCCAGAGAAACAACACTCAAAGAACCACAGCTCACTAGAACATTGTTCAGAAGAGTTATTTTATTAAATATCATATAGTTGTGGATACATGTACATGTTTTTCCCGCTTTACGGGAGAAAAATAGGTGGATAAAGAAACAAATAATAATTCACAGCTCGGCCGTTACAAGGGAGAATTGAGTTAGGTTGAGGGATTTAGATAAGAGATGTACGACTGCCTCGATGTGCACTGGTACAAATCAAATGATTTTATATTTCTTATTGAATAATTCAATGTGGCGGCTAAAAGCTGATAAGTTAAACTGCATAAATGTCACACACCATTAGAATCATTGTAATCCATATAAGAGAGGATATATATAAGTATATATATATATATATATATATATATATATACAGTGCGTCCCAGAAAAACATAACCGAGAAGTATCGATGTTTTATCATAACTTAATCACAACCATAATTAATGAATGATACCTATTTGGAAAGCTCAGAGTCTCCTCTTTCAGTTGATATTTCACGCATGAGTGATTAAAAGCAATTTGAAGGAAGGAAACCAAAAAGTAATTTGGCGGGCGGTATCTGAATTTTAAAGAAAAATTCATATTTCTAGAAAGTTTATTTCTGTTCTTTTATATGATACCTCAATCAAGAAAAATGAGCCAGGAATAACAAAGTTCTGTTTGTTTAAAGTAGCCCTTACATTTTCATAATTTTAACAAACGAATTCGTTTTCACTGGGTACCTGCCGTAGCAAAAAGCAGATTTGACAAAAAACTCAACTCCGTTTCGTTGACAATCAGCCATGCATGAAGACTCTCGTCTACATGCGTGAAATATGCATTATCTGAGTAAGTTATGATAGAACATCGATACTTCTCGGTTTCGTTTTTTCTGGGACGCACTGTATATATATTATTATTATTATTATTATTTATTATTTTTTTTTGGGGGGGGGTGGGGGTTAAAGGAAAGCCTGCCATTGAACTCATCTCATGTATATGACTCGGCCATTAAACAATTAATATCTGTGTTCTTCGCATGTGCCTAAAGATCTAAGTACCTAATGATGAAAACAAAGGTATACATGTATTTAACAATCTTTGGGTTGTAGGGCAAGAAGATTAAAACAAAATATATAAAAAATCAACTGAAGGGCGATTTCAATACCCCCTCGTATTTTGAGTTTAGAAGACCGTGTTCAGATTACATAATACGTCATGGTCATGTTCGCACATTTAAATAGGTGACGAAAAAGAGTATTGGCAGGGGCGGATCTAACTTTTTGCCAAGAAGGGGGGGGGGGTGGGGGTTGACGCAGTGGTGTATCCAGGATTTTCTAAAAATCGCGCCGTTTTACTGTTTTTTCTTCTCCCCCCCCCCCTTTTTTTTTCTCTCACTTGGCCTCCCAAGGGGGGGGGGGGGTTAAAGTATCGAAGTTATGATCATGTTAGACTTTCATTGGGGGACGGATCTCACCTAAGTACAGTTATAAGGAAACGTAAATATTGAAAATGTGATCAACTGGGGACAATAAATGACACGGAGATCAGTTAAGTCAAGTGAATCAACTTTATTAGAATAATGTTTTATTGTTATCCCTAGCATTACACTCATAGGCTTTATATACACAAGCTATCATGCTTTTTTTCAATGAGAGACAGTATATACATTAAAGAACTGCAAACGTAAGGAGACTTTACTGGCAGAGAAATAAAAATAATCAAACATTTCCTTGAATTCATGCACGTTTTTAAAAAAAAAACCCGTATAACATGCATGCATGATACAGCAAATTTTACTCACAGGAATGTGAATATTTGATGAGAATCAAATAAACTTGCAGTCTTCCTATGCTTCGGACACCAATTTCATTATTCCACGAACTGAGGTTTGGAGTATACTGAATTTAGCGTTTCATATCAGTCAACACACATTTCTCTTGCTAATATTCTTGATATAAATCATCAATTATATGCAAGGTTATATACCTGTTTTCACGAAGTGACGGTAGTGAAAACAAATTGCATTCACTTTGCGTTACGATTTTCCTCACTACCGTCACTTCGTGAAAACAAGGACGTAATGACTGCCCCAAATATTTTTCAGCCAACTAGAATTGGAGAAAGAAGTCAAACGAAATACATCGGAAGGAATAGTGAACTATAGAAGGATAGAAATCCTTTTAATAAGACAGACTCGGGACAGACTCAAATAAGAGCTCCTATAAACAGGTGTTTCTATATTAGGATGCATGTATGGAGTAAGCATGTTAAAACAAACGAAGGAAGTAAACACACAAACAATCAAAAGCAAGAAAACCCCTTCTTTGTAGAGAAGAGTCTACGATTTGGGACAGATATACCATTCTTATACTGCGACTCAAAGAATGCAATTCTACTATTTTCTATGCATCACTTATTTACAATATACAAGGCATAAACATAAAAATAGCAATCTGAAGGGAAAGAAATGTACAACGTACAAAACATATCACTTACATTCTCCCTAGCTATTTACATGAAGCATTCATTTTGCGCTCTTTGTTTTCTTAACTCAAACTGAAAATGAAATCAGCAGTTACGTGATACAGCACATCACAGAGGTGAGAACGCACTTCACACATAGATTGATACTCCAGTGCATCCTTGCACATAGATGGCCATAAAATATCCGTTTCCACCATTAAAAAACTAATATCCCAGAATATCTTGTCTCTATTTCTAGCGCCAGTGCTTACAAGAAGGTACTAAAGTATCAACATATTTATGAAAAATGTGAACTCACTTCTATGATAATATTCAAATACAATTTCTAAATATTGCATGGTAAACGCATCGAAAACAAAACAAAAATCATATTACGACAAATTTCCACATATTTCAGTAATTTCTTTCTTCATTTGCCTCTCTTTCAGTATCATATTGATTGAAAAAAAAGGTAAAAATAATGGGATATTATAATCATGTTGATTTTCACTGCACATAGCCATATATGCTCTACATGAAATGTAGTCATGACAAGGTATCATTAATGCACAGTATTCGTAAGTAAAATCAAATTGAGATAAGATTCCCACGTTTTCTCATTTAGATCAAGAAAGATAGTATACTATCCACATACCTCTGACGTAGAGGGAGCTACCTGACTAATATATCTTATTACCTCTGGTTTGAACATTTCATGCATTAAGCTACATGTAAGCTCACAATTCATAGGCAAGATTGTCAAGAAAATGAATATAAAAAGTACATATTTAAATAGAAGACCACTGCACCTGTATTCGAAGGGGAAAAGTTCTTCACAGTAAGACGAAGTGCGGTAAGTGCTGACTTTGAAGAAATCTTAACATTAACAAAAAAATATGATTTAAACCAAAAGTGTGTTTCATTACTGCTGATATAAGATGTACATTCAATGACTTCCTTCCTATACGATCATCAAACAAGGCAACTCATCATGTCCAAGATTCAAACCTTCATGAAATTAAACCAAATTGAAAAGAGAAAGAGCCATTGTAGCCAACTTTAGCATGCCTTTCCAACCCATGGTATTAGTACCTATGATATACACATGTTTTGATACCAATTTTATTAAACTTATGATCATATGTAATCTCGTGTCAGACCAATAAATAGAGAACATATTAATAATGTATATATGATAAATGGAAATCTTCTTTACTTTGTAAATCAGTCAAAGTCAATTCATGGTTCGTCATACCAACTCCCAAAGTCTTTTTAGGAGCAACATCTAGTTATGTGATAGCAAAACAGTGTCTTCATTAATGATGACCAACAATAACATTAATAATAATAATAATAATAATAACAATAATAATAATAATAATAATAATAATAATAAGTAACAATATTTTAGTGCACAGATCGACCACGCAAGGCGCTCCAATATTACCCAGGCTCTGCTAGGCTACCGATCGGTGCTCAAAGCATTCAAAGAATTCCTTCCTACCTGTAACCATCTAACACCTGGGTGGAGAGTGGCAAATGAAGATTAATGTCTTGCCAAAGGACATTAGTGCAGCAGAGGGACTCGAACCACGAACCATGTGATCCACAGTCGGACAACGTATCCAGTAGATCACGACACCTCTACATAGTACATGATGGTGTATTACAATGTCTGTGGGAAGTGGTAAGATACGGCATCTTGATGCCTCTAAATCAAGACCTTTACAAAATTACAATAGATATTCAAACAAATGAATAGTATGACCCTGTATTAGACATGAATTCAACATTTTATTCTTAAATTCTAGAGTGTACTATACTACTAATCTAGAACAGTCATGAAAAAGCACCATAGAGAGCTCACAAGGATGTGCAGAATGTGTTTACATGAATTATATTCCCTCAGTTTGATTGATTATATCTCTCCAGCTCTAGCATAATCATCGCTATGCATAAAATCATCAGAAAGTGTGTTGATTCTTCTTCAAATTGATAACTCATATGTTATGATTATTCAGTCATGATATGTGCTTTAAATTTACGAAAGGGGCAAGGTGAAAGATTAAAAGTTGCAAAATCCCCTGCTTTCGTTTGGATATGCATTCTTCTTTTATTGAAGAGTGTAGGGCTCCTGTGTAATAATAATCTGTTTTTTTTATATAGCGCTCAATACACCGATCAAACAGATATATTATTATGTGTAGTGTACTGCATAACAATACCAGTGCTTACCCGTGCATTTTGCAACTCTTGACCCTGCCCCTTATTCTGATGTAATGCACACTTCATGCGTGCAAAGACATAACAAACACGGTATCATGTTACAAAGGTATAAACATACCAGTACTTTCTAATGATACTAAACATAATGATAATCGTGGCGTGACAAGAGAGATATGATAGATCAAACTTGAGGGGTTTATTTCAAGAACACAGCACAGACTGAACAAGGAGCATAATTTACTTCAGTGCATATGGTTCCAGAACAATTGTTAGATGCATATTACTATTGTTACTATTGAAACCCACAGCAGAGCAGTGCTACATCATAGCTGATATGATGTTCATATGAATTTCATGTAGCACAAGGGCTCTACCATTTGAATGTTAATGCACAATCATTATATGCCAAATAACGATTGCAATTATAATGTCAGGAAAGAGACCCACAATTCAACTGTACATTGCATCAGACAATCATGAAACTAATATTGTATTTACATCAGAAGTATAAATAAATTGGAATGATAGATTAGTGTATTACTCACAAAGTGTACTATCATCTGATATTTACTCACGAAATGTACTATCATCTGATATTTACTCACGAAATGTACTATCATCTGATATTTACTCACGAAATGTACTATCATCTGATATTTACTCACGAAATGTACTATCATCTGATATATTTACATGTATGAAACATTGTTATTAAACATTCAGATTGAAATCAAACTTGAAAGTACGAATCAGAGTCATTTTTTTCTCAAAAAGTTTGGAAGACTAGTGAATTAACTCTCTAAATAAAAAATAACATAATTTCTGCAAAAGTCTCCATGGCTCTGCATTTTCTAGTAATTTAATTCCAACTTTTTAAGTGCATGAAATATTGTAAATTTACTGTATCAGCTATATACACGTAGAAGTTTTCCCAAACATAAGGCCACCCATGAATGTAACCAGCATAATGATTCTAGGTGGATTTTTTTTGTCTTTCTTTCTTTCTTTCTTTTTTTATTTTTTTTATTTTTTCAATCCTAATATTTAGTTATGACTGATAGGACGGCTAATCTCATACATGACATAATGTTGAGGTCAATATTGTCAAATTTAAACTAGAAATATCTAATGCTGTAATTATTGTTATAAAGATAGATTGACTTTCGGTAGCAACAGATTATTTTCATAAAAATATTGCCACTATGCCACTTCAATTTTTATATATATTAATTTTGTGTTCTTCTTCTTTTCCATTTTTTTTTAAATATCTTACTTTTGTTGTTAATGTCATGGGTAGGGTAGATGTATTGTAGAGGTGACAGCATTTAAAAAAAATAGACCTCTTAATAAATACAATCGTCATTTCATAATAAACAGCATTCCTACACATAAATGGAGTCAAACATATGCTAAATATGTTTGCATGTTTCATGTATCCTTTTCAGCCAATTCATAGATATATACACTTCAAAGTGAACAATCATCACCTTGGTTGTTAATGAAGGACAAACCAACATTTGTGCTAGTCCATACTGATTATGTAGAATAGAAAAGATTTGTAAGTTTAATGATGAGTGCTGTAGACTGATGAGCAAGGAAATCTCAATCCTAGCCTGATCACACTAACTTGTATGAAGAAACGTTGTATGAAGAATCACCATAAATACTAGTGAAAGGGGCGTACAGAGTAGAGAACAACATCGTATAAAGAAACAAGTTTTGAAGAGGTCAGTTGACACGACAGCTGGCCAATCATCATTGTACGCTCACGATAAGCCCCGCCTACACGTCACCAGAGCACAGTACCGATTCTTAATCAAGTGTTTTGTTCGAAACAATGCTAAAACTTGGATTTCATTATACGATGTTTCTTTATATGATGTTAAGACTGGAACATTTTAATTTACTCGATGTACAGCTACATGAGTTTTTTACGCTGAATGTGAGTAGTCTGGATGCCGAGTCTGATAGGTTCCATTACTCCTGGATGAACAAAGTTTGATGACCCCATTGATGACATCATTGATGACATCATAGATGGGAAGCCCAATCAAGTTACCTCATGCTTCCTTCTCCTCACCTACTACTACAAGCAGCTTCTGCACACAGTGAGTGATTTTACCTGCAGAAATAGACAGAAATAGATTCACATTAGCGACTGATGTATCCTCAAATGTGCATAAGAAAGTCTGACGAAAAAAGATTCATACCAATTGGAACACTAAAAATTACAGTTAAACAGCCCATGTAAACTTCTGAATTTGTTTCATATTTTTTTAAACAAAATACATGTACATATCAAAATATGAGATGTATGCAGGACTGCACACCAACAGGAATACACTTTTATTTCGATGTCATGGGCCCTTTAAATTTCTGCACTTTATAAGATCATGTACTGGCGTCATATTTAATTCTTTTTTCCTCACTTACATGCATGAATAGAAGTTTTCAAAAAAAAGAAGCTTAAAGCATTCCATGGAGTCTTCAAATCGGGTAACAACAATCAATATAGATGGAATGATTCGCCTGACAGCACTTGTAATGGGGTATGTCTTAAAAAAAAGACTTTGCAACAACTTATCTTTAATACACTGAAAAATATGTAGACATTCAGATTCAAATAACAGGTTGTTCTATTCAATCTTTCATACAGTCCATGACTTTTATAGGCATAGGTATTCTACTGACACTACTTCAGATATATATATACTGCCATCTGCTGCTTACAATGTCCCAATGTGTCAACAGCCATGTCCCACAATGCATCACCAGCTGCATGACGCCATTGTGATGATACTCTGGTACAGTCACTGGAATTCGCTCTATGAACCCCTTCACCATAAGATGGCGCAATTGTAAATAAATTACAGCAGTAGTAGCGACGTCAGTAAAATGCCCTGCCTTTAAAGTGACTCGGTAACATGGTTGAAGGTTGATGAAAAAAAATTACTTAATTTTTGTATAAAATGTTACTTACTATATTCCTTCCCGAACAAATTCTCAAACCACAAAGATATCTATGGTTTTCTTTGAAGGCGTCGATGTGAGGCACCCTCTAACAGTGATTAACAGTAAATTCTTGCAACCATTTTTGAATTTTCCCAACCGTTTTTCCATGAGAAAAATACATAAAACAGGCTATAAAAATCTGTCAACACTTAACTGTCTGGAATGGAATGTAGAGCCATTTTATTGGTTTGTGACGATTTACATTCACCTAAAATGTAATTAAATTGTCCTTGTCTTGATGCTGAACAGGCTTTGACAAGTAGCAGAATAGAAGTAGAATAATATAGTTGGGAGAATTAAGGAATCGATCAGATCAGTTTTTCCCAATTTGTACCATAAATAATGATCCGTTTTCACTCAAATTTTTAGATTATCTTTAATTGTACATCTAGCATTGAAGTCACTACCTTAGCACCACTATCTCTCATCTGAACAATGTTACAAAGTCTCTTTAATGAAAGCATATATTCTAAGGAAGCTTTAAAATACCTGGCCATATGAATTAATAAAGATGTACTTACGGTTCATGTTCAAGATGAAAAGTGGTTTCTTCTTATACCACACACATAGGAAGTAGACTGGGAAACCTGTGAGAGTGATTGCCAGACCTATCAGTGTATCCATAGGCGCTGCTACGGTTCCCATGATAACCAAGAAGATACAGGCTAACACAAAGGTGATGGGAAGCAGGATGTTAAACTGGAATGATAGGATCAAAGAATGGAGACAGAAAAAGAAAGCAGAAGATTGGTTAAAAATAATAATATCTAAGATTTATATAGCACTGGTATTCAGAAACAGTTTCTTAGCGCTTTACAAAGCAAAAAAAATGAACATTACGTTTAATCTAGATATGTAAGGATCAACAAGATATGAAATGAAGTGAAATGAACATTATGGTTAGGTCCTAGTTTTCAAGGATTACTTGATCGTGGGTAGCATATTTCCAAAACAAACACGCAACAATGAAGAAAACAGTTTCAATCTTTGATTTTATCCCACAAATGTGTAATTTTCTATAAAGACTGTTATCGATCTAATTAATATGGAGAAATATTCCATTGGCAAAGCGATGATGTTCATGTGATTTCATCCAAGGAAATCACTCTTTTATCTTAACTTGTACCTCTGGTTTTTATCATATACATTAACCCTTTAAGGGTAATACAAGGTTTGGGTATGGGGTCATGAATTTGGTTCAAGTAAACATATTGGAAGCATTTGCGATTTTATAATGTTCAACTGTCGCGGTTGAAATCGAGTCTAAAGTGATGAAAAACTTAATGTTGTATAGCTCCCTCTCAAGACTGATATTGCTTTAGCTTTTAAAAAATGTTTCTTGACTACAATCGATCAATTTGCTATTCCTGTTTGGAAGTTATATACGGTATCACAACTGCATATTCTGATATTTTCAAGGTGGCAGCTAGCATGGAATGGCCTTAGGCGCTATTTGAAATATTTAAACTTTACCGGGAGCACCAGTGATTTTTGGATTATTTCAATTTCTTGAAAGCAGAAGTGTTTTAGGAGCTAAATTTTCCAATGCTTATAATACATCCACAGGGGCTTCCAAATATATATTTCTAAAGAATTACTATCCATACAATTTTTAAAATTTCCCAAAACTTTGCATTAACTTTAATCCTTTAATCCTAAAGGGTATTTTAGAATTATGTAAAACATTATATTAGTTTGTTCCATCATATAAATCAAGCCATACCATTATATAAATCAAGTCATACCATCATAGGTCTGTCTAGGATAGTCGGTGTGATTCTGAGACTAAATAGCGCATACTGACTGAATTTAACAGATTTGTAGGTGTCATGAGTAAAAGATTATGTACCTTAATGGGTCTTTCTAGGTTAGGCTGAGTAATCCTGAGATAGATGAGACCTACGACAGCAGCTCCAATAGATAACCAGGTCATAAAGCTGAAGTAGTTGAGTAGAGAGTCGATCGTAGGCACAAACACATACACAATTGACATAATGCACTGCAAAAATAAAACAATAAAAAATAGATGATTATTAAGTATAAAGGAATAATAATTAAAACAAAAACAATTTAATATTCTCAAATTTATTTTTAAAAAAACTATTCAAAGTAATGTGGGTTCAATGTATTGTGATTTTAATGACAATGATTTGAACTATGACATACCTTATAATCATTAAATGATCAATATAACTACACAATCATAAGTGTGCATGCAGACAAAACCTGATCAAAGTTGTTACATTGTAAAAGAAGGAGGAGAAAGAACGGAGGTGGGACCATGTTTTAATCAATGATTGATTAATAAACCACACCCTAAACTAAGGGGTCACACCCCCTTTTTTTGTTGTCAATGCCATTGGCTACTGATATGAATAAATAAGAGAAAAAGTATTATTAATATGTGGTTTGATCGTTGAAAGTTATCATAAAACTGTATCTAATTTCTCACTAAATCTTAAATAAACAAACAAAAATGCGACAGACATTGCCCTCTTTTCAGGTCTACAGACTTTTGTTTACACTATAAAACAAAAGATTACTTATCTATAATCAGGTATCTATAATCAGGTATCTATAATCAGGTATCTATAATCAGGTGTCGAAAATGGTTGGCAAATACAAAAAGAACGTGTCAAGCAACAACATGTTCCGACTTAAGATAAGAAATCAAGTATTCCCTATTCAACTTCCAACGGACTGACGAGTATTTGCAATAAAAACATATCTTCATTGACATGAGTTGCGGGTGTACGACATAACATATTCCAAGAGGGAGATCAAACGTTCTAACGCGCTGGAAATTATTTGGTGGCAGTCCCGCCTGACCGCCGATATTTTCTCTGGAGGGATTCTATACAGCGCGACATCGATTAGTGAGCGAGTGAGCCGGGTCAAATCCATTGCGGCGACCGACGAGTCTGTGCTTCGTTCGTGAATTCGGGCCGATTCATATATTCATCGCGCGCTTTCTAGTTTCGGTAAATGGTGAAATCAATGATTCCAAGTTATCTTTGGAAACAAGTCGTGCTAAAGCGGTGATGACAGCCATTCAAAGCAGCTAAGATCAATGTAGTAGCTTCCTGATCAGCTAATACAAACAGCTTTGGAAGAAAAAAAATACAGCCCCAAACGCTTCCGAATCAGGCAGTTTGTTTATAAACTCGGCTATACATCTCCCTTGTATTCTTTACTTCTCCGTCCCGATTTCTATTCTGGAGTAAGTATTCAGAAGTGCTTTTTTTAAGCTATGTCATAACATAATAAGATTCAATCTATTCAAACATACAACTGTCAAGTATTTTTGTCCTATGAATTGGTCGGTGGATTATGTAACGCACTACCTCTCTCATAACCAGAAGTCTACGACGGAAAGCGCAAGATAGTAACTCGCAATATCACGAAACGTTACATGAAGGGATATTTCCACAAATCTAACATTTTGGGCATAATCTAACCAGCTAGAGCACGTGACTAATTTGAATTGAGAAAGTATTCTTCACGAATTTCTGATCAAGTATCACTCAACGCAATTTAGGATCATGAACCAAAAATGTATTCAATCAGACACATTTTACTTTTCGCGGTCTATACATGTAGTTTTTATTCCAAACAAAAGAGTGCGAACTTTTATTGCAAAGCGATGAAATGAAGCATTAATTCATGCTTAGACATTGACCAATATAAACCAGTGGAGGGTTATTGGCTCACTATATTATTCACACGTTGTTAGACAACATGACAGATGGCGCTCTCGTCATCTGAGCCACCCACGCATTAGATATTACTCTCCTAAAACAATCAAAGGCCTCATCTCGGGTTTGAAAAATTGATCATCTTTCTATATGGTTGATAAATAAATGACGTCACAAAGACAGGATGGGCATGCATACATTGAACCAATCCCTCCAAGACAAATATTGGTTAAAGCAAGGAATTTTAAAAGGAAAAATAAAAGGATAATTTCAGGCTCATTCAGATACGAAACAGCAAAACTTTTTGTGTGTGTGTGTGTGTGTGTGTGTTTTGGGCGGCGGTTTACCTCGCCATGTCTCACTATGTTACGAAGGTGTGGTCAACAGCAAACATTAATGAAGTCATTAATGAATTCAATACGCACAGCCAAAACCACTATACCATAGTAACCATACCATTTATCTCATTTAAGAAACGGGAAGATTTTAAGACGGGATGATCTAAAGACGAGATACACAACAGCCTCTCAATTTTTCTCTCATCTTTTTCATCAGCTTGCTTCAAAATTCTAACATATCAAAATCATTTTTTTTTAAAATATCAAATAGTTCAATTACTTACCGTGAACACAAGTGAAGGCATAGGTGTTTTTCTGTTGACTTGAATCATGGCTAACCACTCGGGAAGTTGCCCCTCACGAGCACCAACGAAAAATAACCTATAGGATGGAAAGGTTCAGGTGTTTAGAGGGATAGTAGAGTGGGAGTTGATTGAGGTAGGTGGCGGGGTTTGGAGGGGCATTGAAGGAACAGTGGTGGTAGCGGTGGAGGTAGCGACGGTGGTGGTGGAAAGGCAATTTGTTGAGGGCAGGTAGTAATAAGGGTGAAGATGCATATTTTGTAGAAATGGAAAGAAAGGGAAGTGAGACTTTAAGTAACATTCCGAGTAGTCCGTTCGAGATCAACACTAGACACAATACAACGGAAATAGTCACAAACCAGAAAATGATTATGTGTGGATGGGTTATTGATGTGGAACATCCCCTCCCCCTCCTTCCTTCCTCCCGAACACAATTAAAACAAATACTGTATGCCAACTCACAGCTAGTCGCATGTCAAATGACAATGAAGACCACAGAAATGTTTTATGCATCATTGACAATGATATAAACGCAGACGTTAGAAACGGTAAAATAAACCAATTTTCTTAATCAGTAATTATCTATTTTAACATAGATTACGTTTAGGACCGAATGATACATACTTGGGCAAGTGAAATCATGAATAGAAAAAATTGAAATAGAAGTAAAACACATGCAAACGTGATAAACAATGAACAAATTGTCAAAATATAAAAACAGTTAATCTCAACTTATGTTTGTCAAAGCTACATAACTCATAAGTATAACTTGTTCCCAATGACAAGATAAAAAGCTTACCTAGACAGCGACAGGAAACCACCGTTGACACCTCCAAACGTTGACATAGCAACAGAGACTGGCATTATCCATGCCATTCGACCAAACACCTTCTTACCAAATGTCTGTAAAATATATCGGGATTTAATCATTAGAAGTGAAAACATATATTTTTTTTTCATGAAAACTAATGAACTTCGGACAAAAATATGGAACATTTTTTTTAATTTGTTATGAAGAGTTGGAGAGCGAATATAACGAAGAAGTTGTTTTCCCTTTGGCCTTTAACTCACGTAACTAGATCTCCTGAAGATAGACATTAGTTGGGAAGCCTGTCTCAAAAACAATCACAATAATCCTAACGTAATTATGGGACACGTTTAATTTAGGACACTAACTAAATGAGTGACATGATTCGATAATTAGAAAGAACTTCGAGATAAACAAGATAATAATAATAGACGTACCACAGCAACAGCATTTGATGCGGCTAATTCCTCTGGTGATAGAACGGCGAAGTAAGCAACGTTAGCCAACACATAGATGATTGTTACCATAGGCATAGAAATCATTATACCACGTGGAAGATTTCTGAATAAAATAAAAATCGCAAAAATATATTTTATGTTATCAAATCGCAAGTCGGAAATTCAGCTTTCACGGGTCGAGAAAATGATTTAAATGTGCATAAACTTCACATAATTCTTTAGGATACTTGCTTTAAAGTTAATCTTGGGTTATGAGTGTATATTTAAACTTTATTTGGTGAAAACATGTTTAAAAGTCATCGTAATTTGTTTTCCATAATATTTCACCGAAACGTCTGGTACATATTGTTAATTTTTGTTATCGTGATAGATATTGTGTGTATTTCAACGTAATGTGTGGCATATATTGTGTGATAAACCAACATAATATGTCGTATATATTGTGGTATATATTGAAACAACGTATTGAGTGGCCTGGCAGTACGATATCATGTATCAAACCTAAATGCATGGCACCAAGGGCAGTGGCATATCATGGGAATACGGCACCCGGGGTAAAAAAAAATGATAGTAGATTTTACTTTTGCAATTTCGTGCATTCTGCACAGGAACATGCAAGGGAACGCTGCAATCGAACGGCAGAGTTTCAAATTTTAACATTAATAAACGGTTTTCTACTTCTTCCTTAAATGGGGCGCAAAGTAAAAACCTTGGAGAAATCTTCTCAAGAACTGAACAAAGGCAACTGAGCTTTCTTGAAGTCTGTTCATCGTACAGGCTCTCGTTATTCATTACAATACTGTAACATTTTTTTTTTTTTAAACATGATGCTCAGAACGGATTGTGCATCTCTAAACCATATTCATGTTTCTTTAGTTTGATATCTGGAACATAGCAACAAGATGGTAAATGTTCACATCCTGACATGAGAAAGAACGTAGGAAGAACTTTAATAGAAGAAACTGAACAATAAACGATAGTTGATTTGCGGCATACACATTACTGAATGTATTCACTCCTTTCACCTCGTACGATGTTATTCAGAGTGAGATCATACCTGAGGTTGTGACAACATGAGTTTGTCATGATTCAGTGAAGGGAAGTCGCCATAATGGATAGCACATCCAAAACGCCCTCTATCCCATTAAAGAGCTCAATCAACGCTCTTGTAAATAGAACTATATTGTTGACTATTGATTTATGCATTGGTAAGATAATACCCAAGTGATAATAAATAATCTCCTTTATTCTTAATAAAGCTATACTCGTTCACTGAACAATGACGTCGTCCTGTAAGTCTTCCTTATCCATAATTATTAAGAGCGTTTAGTTTCATTTTAATTGACGTCCCTGTACAGTACATAAAATCATGATAGACTATGCATTGCAATTTCAGTGTTATAGTCCGGTATTACCTAACAATTATAGATGATAATCAAGTTATAATTATTATTAAAGCTACCTGCACATGAATTATTACCGTTTTTTACAGACCATTTATTTATGCATTGCGTTTTCGGTGATATGGTACAATAATACCGTACACAAAATTGATAAATAATAACCAGTTCTTATTACTAAAGGTACACCATCACTGGACAACGCTCAGAGACGTATATCATAAGCCTTCTTATCTACGTACATGTAAAGAGCTTTTAATAAATACTACAAAATAACAACAAAAACAAAATTAATTACTTGATAGGGTCTTTGATCTCCTCTGTCAAATAATTCAAATAATTCCTGGAAAGACAAAAAAAAACACAAAACACAAAAGAACGTTAAGAATATGATTTCTGATCGGCATACGTTTAAGACCCACATACAGTGTAGGCCTATATACATTTTATGAAATATTTTAATAAGCGCATAATGTTGTGGACAAAATATGAAATACGATCAAAACGTATTTGGGAGTAGAGTTTTTAAGGCATCTAAGCACACAAACAAATAACAGTAAATATTGATATACATGTACTATCCTTTATACCAGTAATAATACTTATAATATATCATGATATTTCAGACATAATTGCATCTCCATAAATAATGTACAACCGTATCAAATATCCAGTATAATTTCCAAGCTCATATTCATTGAATTACATGTAAGTTCCCTCGGATTAAATGGGATGCTCGTTACTAAACCTTCGGGTTAAGAAATCTTTTATGAACCTTCCAATACATGAACAAACGTTCGGATAGGAAAACCTTCGGGTTACCAAACCTTCCGATAAATGAACAATCGGGTTAATAAACCTGAAATGAACCTTCCAATAAATGAACAAATTTAAGGATAAACGAGCCATAAGTGACATAACAAAAAGGAGGTTAGATCACAGCTTCATGTAATAATGACCGCCCCCCCCCCCCTCCCACTTGCCAATCAGAAATTTATTCGCATGAAGTTAGATCATCCTTTTTTTTAATGTAGGACAGACTTACCATGCAGCATAGGCGAATAGACCGCCATAAAACGCGAGGGCAATACTCTCACCATTCTTACTTCCTTCAAATGGTTTCTGGAAATTTTCAGTTTTTCCTGTGGAATCAACGAAACAAAATGTCAATTATTTTCACTTCATAAATAAAGCCATTATCTATGGCAACTTTATTTTCTTTTGAAAGATAAATCATACATACATTTATTGTTTATCATATCAGTACAGGCTGAAATTACAGTACAAAAACATGATCAATATTAGATGACTACCGTCTTGTGATAAATTATATCGCATAGATTTTTAAAAATAATTATTCAAAGCTGGTTTATTCATTCAGAAATATACCGTTGTAGTCATCACAGAAAACTTTTTCCCCCTTCTATTCAATATCATAAACATCGTATTTGGTGAGACGGGAACAAATTACAATGTAAAGCCTGTTAGATAAGACTAAACAAAACAGCAGGGTTCATAGCGACCCCGTCTGACCCGACAGGTTACATTCCAAACCAAGCCAAGCCAAGCTATAAAGCAGATAAACATATGTCAGCAAAATAAGGTTAGGTGGGGAATACATGGGTGATATCATCATTATTGCTTCTCTGGCTGAAAACCAAATTTAAAGAATTGCTCTGAAAGAAAGCAGAACAATCAGAGAAGCAGATTAGTGAAAGTTGTGAATTTTGTTAAGTTGTAAAACTTGTAATCACTACACTTATAGGGAATTTCAAATCGGCCGAATCGATGTGTCACTGCCAAGTATTGTTCTAATACACAAAATAACTGAAATGTCAATGTTTAAAACAGAAATTAGTATAAACAGGGGAGTTTTCCGTGACGACGTCACAATCCCTGACCAGATTTGTTGTCATTTTTGACAGACATGGCGCATTATAAATATTCACTATTATTATTATTATTATACCTTTCCTTTCTATATTGGTCCAATATATTCAAATTTTCGCCATAGCCATAGGCTATAGTTTCTCTTCTTTTTTCTGCTTTCATAAACTAAGATAAACTCATTACGAAGGTTACAATGCCCTGTGGATACGTGTACAAGAAGCTGTTTTGATGCTCAGGGGGTCGCAATGTTCACTAGACGTTATGAAACGCTTAGGCCATAGTATAGACAAAGCGTAAGACGTGATAGATCAACATAGACACTATAGTATACAGTAAGACACAGGCATTTCGGTGCTCTCAAACCATCTTTCTGACCTTCGTCAAAGCTCATGACAATCTGTGAAATGTTTTCATTTGCAAATATGATTATGGAATAAATAAGAATTCTGAGTTTGACAGTAATCAAAGTTCTTGCAAAACCTCGCAAACCGCACAACCAGTGCACCACCCTAGCTCAATTTAAATTCGAATTTCATCTGGAACTCTTTGAGGTGCCTTTTATATTATGTTAAGCTCTTTTCTGTCCACATCCAAGTTGTGTGGTGGATATCACTAATCACGTATCAGGACAATTACCCCCTGGAAGATTACCGCCTGGAAAATTACCCCACCCCCCGGAAAATTACCCCGGTGGACAATTAGCCCCACCCCTAGAAATAAACCCTTGGGACAATAATCCCCCCCCCCCGAAAATTACCCCCTGTTCATTAAAGGTAAAGTCCATTCTGCTAAATAAGTTGGTTTTTAATAAAAGCAGGAAAAAATCGGGAGGGGGGGGGGGGTATTGTCCTTACCGGTAATTTGTCCCGCTGGTAATTGTCCGGGGGGGGGGTGAATGCCCAGGGGTTAATTGACCTAGAATCCAATAATCATGGTGTGGCGGCACAGAGATCCCGACTCATGATAAAACCTTTATTGATCAGGATAAATGTGTTTGGTTTTTTGTTTCAACTTTTATTGATTTGACCAGGACTTAACGTTCTATTAACGCTCTTATAATCACTCAATACATCCGATTACAGGACAAAGCATCTTCAAGATAAGCCAAATCGGAAACCTGACAAAACTTTATTTATTTTCTATAATCAGTTCATGCATTCGGTCAACGAAATGGAGAGCGTTAAAGGGTTGTTCAGGCATGGTTGAAAAGGTGAGACAGAAGTGATTGTGGAGAAACAAACAGATTTACAGCAGTATAGGAAATCCTGGAATAGGAGTTACATCCATTTCATGTTTTTTCTTTACAAAATCCATTTCAAAGGTCACCATGTGACACAGAGAGAAGGACAGCTGTCTCACGCACAGGTCACTCAGTTCAGCCTCGAACCTGGGTCGTATCAACCTGATTGTCCATTGAAAAAATATCGTAATTATAAAACTCTGAACTCTACCTCTAGTCTATTTTGTCTCGAAATTAGATATCAGAAATGAATCAACCAAGGTCAATCAAGTTTGTGCCGATCATGTATCATTGCTCATGATATCATGCTGTTCGAGACTTCGAGTAGATGTAATTTGATTTGAAGGTTAAACCACAGACTAAACATCACTCCCCTTTCACTTGTTTTATATTTTTTTAAATAGAGTCTAAATATTATGTGAACACAATGGAATATACTATGACCGAAGAACAATCCTTTCGAACCCACGAAATTTGTGTCTACCTCTTATGACATCGTGAACTGCACTTTTCATCAAAATGTTTATTTCAATTGTTTATTTCAATTAAGATAACCTTAGACTTCTCAATGGTGCCGATTTCCTTGAGAAAGTGCACTTGACATGTTGAATTAAGTTCATTTTTATGAAACTAGAACAAAGTAGAGAAACAGAATAGGGAAAGTTTTAAAAGAATCCGACCTTTGGGTCTAGTCCTGATACTTACCCTGGCAGATATAGACTAGTCCTGTTCCAATGATGATAACCAGAGCTAAGATCTTAGCCACAGTGAAGACATCCTGTACACGTGTAGCCCAAGGAACACTCCAAGAATTCACAAAAGTAAGCAAAGCTGTAACAAAGATAAAATGAGAACAATCATAAAAAACATGGAGTGAAAACATGAACGAATTTGTTGAACTTGAAAGTTACGAGAATCTTCCTTCCCCACTTAGATCCTCTTTTCTTAATAACAAATAAACGTCTTAATAATAAATAAACGGCTTAATGAATAAATAAATAAATAAATGCATGAATAAATTAATGAAATAAATAGACAAATAAATAAATAAAGAACGAAAGAACATTCTAAATGACAAATGTGAGAAATGAATGATGGTGTGTTCATAGTGTAACAAAAATTGAAATGAATGGTGGTCAGTGCCATGTCTCACTATTGCTCAAATAATGAGTTACTCATAAATCGACGTAGTACACTATATGTCCTATGAATCTTCAAATCTTGTCTATAGCATAGGAAGAGGCTAACATGGTGGTTCAGACATTAGGGTAATAAGTGGAATGAACTCCTGTCAATTGAGTCTATTACGATGTTGGCATAAAACAACACACAGGTCTACACCATAGAGATGTGTGCGTCAATATATTTCCGGGTGTGTCCAGTGTATAGTCTCTGATCAAAACATTATCAATTATCATTAGCACGCGCTACACATGAATCTTGCAGATACACCATTCATTATCGTGAAAACATATTAAAACAGAATATTTACGTCGTGTAGATTAGATGTACTGAGTCAGACCTACTTGATATTAATAATAATTTGTAATAAATAATATGTAAAGTAATGAACTAAATAATGATGAAATACAACACTCATTATGCGTCAGAAAGTCACCTTGAGCACGGGTCACTCATCGTAGCAACAACTCTTCTACTGACTAATAAACCAGGCCGGGCCGGGCCAAGACAACAGAAAGCACATGAAGAAAAGTTCACCAAACGTTTGACCATTTCAAACGAGATATAACTGATCTGAAAATGATCTTGTCTTCAGTCACTTTACCTAGCATACATATACCATGGATCTCCCTGCATATACCATACATTATACTTCTACTGTTCAAAAATTGCATGAATGTTACAAACACTGCGAGATAAACAAAGTAACCATTAATTATGTCCTCCTAATGTAAACAACTAGCGAGGTTTCAAGGGGAGTTATGGGTGGCATGTCATACTGGAAATCCAACAGCAAACAGTGTATCTAATACTTCTTAGTCCATTTTTAATTTCAATCGATAGTCGATGATTAATAATATGGATATATAAATATTTTGTTGGGGGGGGGGGATTAAAAAAAGCACTGCAGTGGCTCCGATATTTCCCGCCATATACACCTTGCTCGCCAATGACAAAGAATGCACAAAGCAAATATTAAGACAATACACAATAACGTGTGTCATCGAAGGTTCTCTCTACATATTTTCTCCCAATGGAACTAGTAAAGGAAATAAAGACAGAAGTTCAGTGCTAGTTGTAGTCCACGTGCTCGTAACTCCTTTGTATCACACTGTAGATCTGTGAAACATGCATGCTGAGCATGCAGCCAAGTTCTCCGAACAGGAAACACAATTACACATGTATTTATAGTTTATACCATGAGGTAGCTCTATCGGGAATCTACCATGTCGGCCCTGCCCTTTACAACACTGGTACTTTATATTAAAGTCTCACCTCCCTGTTTATATCCTACTTTATATACTAATCACTCTTAACTAGATATACATCTAGGGTACATGTACATGGTAGCTCGGGTAGCTTGAGTTAATAACGTAGTATTACATGCCTACATGCATGTACATGGTATGTTTCTTTCATCGTGTTCTCATCTCGTCTCCTCTCATGTATCCCACACTGTCACATGAACAACCTCGCCTGCTTTGTACAAGATCTAGAAGTGGTTTCGATATTTCCCGCCATAATTACAGTTGAACGTCAAGGCTATGATCACGTGAACTAGCGGAATTGAGCATTCATATTTCGTCATCTTTATTGTCACGCATTTAATTGGCCTTGGTCTATTCATTAATCGTTCAGCTTCGTATTCGAAGCGAAGGAAGTGAGGCTTCAATAATCAAGTTATATTTTTGAACGCTTTGCAGGAGTGATTTTGTAGTGTTTTGTTTCGGATGAGAGAAATTGATTGTGTTTGCTTCTGATATAAAATTTCGACCTTCTTTTTTCGTTCTCTTTGTTTTTTCAAATGCGCGCCAATATTTATTTTATTAAGTCATTTCCATGACAATACGAGGTGTATACAAAGGGGAATCGAGACTCGAGACTACAATTCCATTTAGACGAGTAGCAAAATGTTTATTGAGTTACAAAATCCTAACATTAACAATATCAATAGTTTCGATTAATATATCCCAGTCAGTATAATCATTTATGCTGGTACTGAAGATTATATTGATATTTTTGCGAGGTCCATGTAAAATCCTGTACGCATAAGTCTAGCAGTCCGATCTGCCAATAATGATGCAATATCTCATGCTCATAAACCATGCAGAGTCTCGTATAGTCCTTGGTCAAAATGAGATTGGCGTTAAAAAACAACGAATATTGATTATCATCGGGTGTACAACAGGCCATATTTTCATTTCATTAATGGAGAAGTTCTTTGTTTTCTCATTGTTCAAATGCGACATGTCAAGATAAATAAATATAAAGAGCTAGGTTAGACTTTTATTTGTGTGATCAAAAGTGCTATAAATGCAATACTACTTTTCTCGTGTTTCCTACGCGACCGCGAAGAGAGAGATCGCCATCTCTCATTCATGAAGTGGTACTTTTCCCTTTTCACCTCCCAGAAATAGGATTTTTCTTCACTTAAGACTTCACTTAAGGAACCCTATGGTTCCAAAAAAAACCAAACCATACGGGCCTAGTAGTAGTACTGTTTAGGACCTCAGAACAGAACGTGTAGAAATGAATTACGTCTCTGTCCGTAGGCAGGCCACCAGTACATTTAGTAAAACTTCAACCAAGTGCGTGTGATAATTTCTCACAAATCAATAAAATATATCGATCTCCTCTCCTCTAATAATTTCCCACATAATATGAAACTCATTTCTCTCTTTGGTCTCTCTTCAGTGTAGTTAATATAACAGCTAGCAGGCTATAGCATTTCCCAACACTGATTGATAACATGTTTATAGACATGAGATATGATGAGTGTAATTGTACACTGGAAGCAATTAGGTGTAATGCAATAGCAACAACCTGAACATTTCCATAATTCTAAATTTCTAATGTACACTGTTTCCCATTTTAGTACTCAAAATAAATAAAGTTCCATGTATTGGTCTGTTGTTTGACATTTAGAATGTGATACCAGGGATATGAGAGTTAAAACACCTCCCTGGTGATACTTTGTATTAAAGGGGAAGTCCACCCTGAAATTAAGTTAGTTTTAATAGGAGTAGAAAAATGAGAGAAACAGGTCAGTGAAAGTTTGAGCAAATTCCGATTAAAAATAAGGAAGTAAGGATTTTTGAAGTAGTGATAAATCAAACACAAATTGGCAACTCTATGACTTATCATGCGAGCTCAACTTCCATTTGCTCAGTACTAAAAGTATCTAAAATTTTCATTTTCCCTCAAGAAAAATTTCAACCATACATGCACCCTAAATATAATAATTGCAAATATGTTTCTATACTCCCCCTGCAAGGAACAAATATATATTCTGTCATCAATAACGAAGAAAACATGATTTTATGGAATATTATGCACAAAGCAAATGAAGGAGAGCTCGTATAATAAGTCACAGAGTTGCCAATTTGTATTTGATTGATCACAACTTCAATAATTCATAACTTTCTAATTTTCATTCAGAATTTGCTCAAACTTTCACTCACCTGATTTTCTTATTATTCTGCCTCTATCGAAACAAGCTTATTTTGGGGGTGGACTTTCCCTTTATGCACCATAGAATATATTCATATAGCAGGCACTATATAAATGATTATATCATTATTATTATTACTACATTATTATCACCATTATTATTATAGTTAATATAGTAGTTCATCTTGGTATGATATGAACCAATACGAAACACATTGTGAGAGGATGCACAAACTCTTTGTTATGGAGCAAGCCACCTCGACGCGGCGCGCCAAATTTACAGATTTCCCGCGTTTGCATGGATGACGTGAAACAGCTCAGACGTAAACACCGTGCTCGCTAGTTAATGCACAAAGAATGCTAAAGCAAACAGTCACACAATACTAGTACACGATAACTAGTCACTCGTGTCAACAGTGGACGTTTTTATATCTTTTATCAATGGGAACTGGCAAAGAAATGAAGACAGAAGGTCGTTGGGATATTATTATACACGCACTAACACTTGAGCTCTGTGATACAGCATGCAGCCAGCCAAGTTCTCGGACCAGGAACATTGGCCATATGCATCTCGGCCCTGCCCTTTTATATCGTAGCAACGCTGCATGGTACTAATACTAATCACTCTGAACATGTATGGTAGCTCGGGTAGCTGGAGTTAATAACCTAGGATTACATGCCTACATGGTATAGTGCGTTTCTTTTCAACTACAACAAAATTATGCATGATACATCAACTGTTAAGACTTCCTTTTACTCCGTTGTATCTACGTTCATTCGGAAATAACATATTTCAAACACATGCCTGCACACAAAGTTCATTAAAGAGAACGAGAGAGAAGGAAAAAAGGGATAGAGGGAGAGAGAAATTTAACAAGCTGGTGTTGTTAAAGGTACTATGTCCCATTTGAGAGAGAAGGAAAAAAAGGATATAGAGGGAGAGAGAAATTTAACAAGCTGGTGTTGTTAAGGAGGGTTAGAGCTGACTAATAAAAAAACAGACTGAAGAGTTGAAGACTCACACGTTCTGTTCATGAGCGATTAGATTTAGTTGGTATCCGATTTGAATTGTATTTTCTGAATAATTTCTCATTCGATATCTGTACTTATTCTCCGGGGGAGCGATATGCGCTATACAAGCATCGTTTTTTCATCACCATCACCATCAATATCATGACCATAATTTGTAAAAGAAAGTATTATAAGAAAACCTGATTAAGATAAGTTTGTTTTACTACTTCCAGTCACAGTTCGATCCCCTATGGATCCCGGGGAAATAGTGACATGCCATCATCTTCTACAGACTACAGGGGCTTGTAACATTATCACTAAATCCTCTTCATCTAGACAGGGACTTGGGTCTAGATCACCATACCGAAATTATTTCTCTTGAATCTTGAAAGTTGAAACTAATAACCCAATGTAATTCCACCCATATCAAATAAAAGCATAAACAAACATTGAGGGGGGAAACGAAGGCATCGCTCTTCTATTATATATCTCTAACTCTCTTACCTTCCGTTATCAAGTACCAACTAATATGACAATACAAGTATCACTATCAACGCCAACGCATCATACAGGATGCGGAGCTCTCATTGAGAAGTGCAGAGGCAAGAGGATGATGCAACCTTTCAAGCACTCATCATCGCCATATTATTTCCTTCTCATCCGTAATATTCCGCAGCACCAGTTACATTAGATAATTAACAAAATAAAATCGAACATCATGTCTACAGCGATTCGTGTCAGACAAGTATTTTTGTAAAATATCCATAGTTCAATTCAGAAACGACATCAGGGCCCAGTACCATAAAACTTGGCTTGCATTTAATTCATATCTCAACTCTTGAGCGATTTATTGCAGCTTATCCGCTGTATCTATCTGTGACATCAAATTAACTGGAAGTTACTATTTAATGATTGAATCGTAAATTTGTATTACAGAGCCCTGTATCTATGTGTATTCTGCTCTTTGTGTATGGCACGCATCCTCGGCAAGTAGGGATGACGTCTACAAACCCTTTTCTATGTCTTGATATTTATAAATAAAATGATTACAACAGGAAAAGATAAACTAGCAACAGATCTAAGAAGTCTATGGAATCAATGCCGTTTATCACTATATATAATTTCAATCTTTCTGATTCGGCTTTTCTCCCGGTCTACTGTTGTGCATCATTCCACCACCACCATCATCATCATGACATCATCATGGTGGTGATTATGGTTGATTATTCCTGATACTGATAGAGGTGGTTTTTCATCAACGTTAATACCAGTGGTATCACCATCTTCACAAGGAATCAACATCACCACTGCAACCATCATCGCCATCATCACCACCATAGTTACCATCATCATCACCATATACCACCACCACCATCCATCACCATCATCATCACCACTGCTACATTGCTACCACCAGACACACCACAACCACCATCATCATCACTTAATTATGGATACTCAAACTAGACATAAGACGACAATTGACAAATATCACAAAATTGTAGATGACAATAAATTATAAAGTCGAGTTACTGACGAAAAGCTTGTCTATTACAGGTAGATCTAGATAGACTGATAGATGTCCTCTCGAACACATTTCCGTCTTACCTAGACACAGAATTGCCATCAATCTAACGAAGATATCTGGTGGAGGGCAATCTTCTGTAGGGTAGAAGGGTTGCACTACATAGTATGCAAAGGTGAGAGCTACGATGGTTTGTCCGGTCGGATTAATGATGATCAAAGTAACCCATAACAACACGAAGGCTGGAAGATCACCAAAGCTGGCCATGATGTAAGCATACTCTCCACCACTCTTGGGAATAGTGGTACCTAATTCTGCGAAGCACAAAGCACCAATCAAGGAGAATATACCAGATACAACCCAGACTACCATGGACATTCCGACAGATCCAGCATTATCGAGTACATTCTTGGGTGATAGGAAGATACCAGATCCCACGATGCAACCCACAATGATTGTACAACTGCTGAAGAGACCAATCTCAGGTTTCAAAGCAATACGGCTGTCGTCGTTGCTCGAGTCCCCCTTACTTTCGGGGACATCATGCTTGTCGTCGTGTGCTCCAGCAGGCTGCGAAACAGCTGCTCTCGGGGCATCTCCTCCTCCATTTTGATCACTTTCCAAAACCATTTCGTCGAATGTCACTCGAGAAAGTTATTACAAATATAGGAGATACAAAACTAAGAATGATTTAATACGAATCTTCAGATGAATATATATGAGTTTATCGATCGCTTGTCTTTATCTTTGCAGTCACACAGAAAATACTCGGCCGGTGAGAATGAATGAGCCACGTGGATAGCGCGTACAAAGTTAGTATGTCAACAAATCTCCGTATAAGCATGTAATACTACACACACAACGAGCATGAATGGGCGCGGAATTCAGACAGCTATGCGCTTTTGTCCATGACTAGTAGCCTTAGTAACCAGTCGTTTTCTTTAACAGGTACATAAAATCTATCAGGATGAAAAAAACATTTTGAAATACATTACTAACAATACCTGCGAAAATGTATAAACTTAATTCATTGCCTATACCTCAAAGCCAGTCGTACCATACTAAGATAAAGTTTGGCAAGCGAAGGGCCCTTTCGGTCCAAAACTGGAATTTTCTTTCATATGTTATTAGATTCAAGATTCAAGATTCAAGATTTTATTGTCCATAATTATAATACAGAAATTTGTTTTCCATTGGTATAACATGTAATACATAAAACATAAGACAAACACATGGTGTCGTGTGCCAGTGGCGGATCCAGGGGGGGGGGGGCCCGGGCCCCCCCCCCCCCCCCTTGAGAAAAAAAAAATCATGTAAAATCACGTGATTTTTACCTTTTTGGGGGGTTGGGCCCCCCCCCCCCCCTGGCGCTCAAGGGGGGAGGGGGGGTGCAAATTGAATTTTTTTTGAGGATCAAAAAAAAAAAAATGTGCTCACTACCCCCCCCCCCCCCCCCCCCCCCCTCCCCCCCCCACTGAGCGAATTTTCGGCCGGCGCGTTTTTCAAATTTTCGGGAGCAAAGAAAAAAAAAGAAAAAAAAAAAAAAAAAAAAATTGTGCTCTGTAACCCCCCCCCCCCCCCCCCCCCCCCCCCCCCCCACTGAGCGACTTTTCGACCGGCGCGATTTTCAAATTTTCGGGAGCAAAAAAAAAAAAAGTTGGGCCCCCTCCCCTAAGAAATCCTGGATCCGCGCCTGTCGTGTGCTGAAAGCCAGAAGGGCGTCAAGACTATATAAGAAAAAGTCTCGGACCAGGTACGGTCCTCCGGCTTTCAGCACGTTATATGATTTATACATAGCAAGAATTTTAAATACAATTCTGAATCACATCATGAATAAATTCTGGTATGAGTATAGATGTGAATATGAAAGTAGAATAGGAGCAGCATCACAATCGAAATACGAGCAGAAAGAGAAAGGAAAAGAGAGCTCAAGCTCGAAGGACTGATAGAAGAGAGAAATATAGGGAGAGTTGGTAGGGGTCCAAAGGGAAAGGGGAGAGATAGAGAAGAATAGATGGCATAATTTCCCATCAGATTATAATGCATGACAGAAAAATACAACAAAATCAGCAGCAGAGCTAAACAACGGATGTTTTGACCCACAAAGGTGATAAGGTGGAAAACTGTCCAACCCAATCCCTACAAGTTTATTTACTAGAGAAAAAGTTAACAAATAATCATAATCGCTATTATTTCGCTTAAAGCTGAGAATTTCGTGTTACTATTGTGCATTATAGATGTGCATGGAATTTGGAATAAAAAAATTCTGTATCTGGCTCTACGGGTAATTGGTACACGAAGGCGGATTCCTGAGCGGTTAAAAGTAAAACAAGAAAATAGTAAATGTGATGGGTCTTTCATAATAGAAGTTATTTTAGTCAATAAGCGATCTTCAAACAAAACTGATAGGGGTGGTAATTCAATGCCGATAATACGTTGAGCAATTTTCCTAGGACGTTCGAGTTTAGTTTTGTCTGCTTGTGTGAGATTTCCATAAAAACAAATGAGATTGAATAGAAGAACACTTTGAATGATAGACTGATAGAAAAGATGCAAGATCGTCCTGTCAACGTTAAATTTTTTGAGCTTCCTTAGAAAAAACATCCGTTGATTAGCTCTACTGTGTACAGCGTTGGTGTTCTTATTAAATCGTAGCTTATCATCAATCAAGGTACCAAGATACTTATATTCATGTACGTGTTCGATTGCCTGTTCATGAATATACAAAGGGATATGATTAACGTCACCACGTCGAAAGTCTATAATAATCTCTTTGGTTTTTTGAACATTCAAATATAGGTTGTGTCGATCGCACCATTCAACAAACTGATTAACTTGACCAAAATACTCATTCTCACTATTTCCTCCCTTAAGCTACAGTCCCATATACGTCCCGGACCGTCCCGGACCATCCCGGACCCCATCCGGGGTGATCCGGAATTCGGTCCGTGTTGACACCGTGTTGGCACCGGGGTGGTCCTGGATGGTCCTGGATGGTCCTGGGCGGTCCGGGAGTCGACCCCGGATGTTTTTGACGGTCAAAAACTGCCGGGGTGGTCCGGGACGGTCCGGGACAATAGTTTGATCCGGGGTGATCCGTGTAGCCACCGTGCTGGGTCCGGGGTCATCCGTAGTGGCGCCGGGGCGGTCCGTGTTGATCCGTGGCAGTCCGGGAGTGAGTTATTGACCGCCCAGGACCATCCAGGACCATCCAGGACCATCCAGGACCATCCAGGACCATCCAGGACCACCCCGGTGCCAACACGGTGTCAACACGGACCGAATCCCGGATCACCCCGGATGGGGTCCGGGATGGTCCGGGACGGTCCTGGATGGTCCTGGATGGTCCTGGGCGGTCAATAACTCACTCCCGGACTGCCACGGATCAACACGGACCGCCCCGGCGCCACTACGGATGACCCCGGACCCAGTACGGTGGCTACACGGATCACCCCGGATCAAACTATTGTCCCGGACCGTCCCGGACCACCTCGGCAGTTTTTGACCGTCAAAAAGAATTTAACATCCGGGGTCGACTCCCGGACCGCCCAGGACCATCCAGGACCATCCAGGACCATCCAGGACCATCCAGGACCATCCAGGACCACCCCGGTGCCAACACGGTGTCAACACGGACCGAATCCCGGATCACCCCGGATGGGGTCCGGGATGGTCCGGGACGGTCCGGGACGTATATGGGACTGTAGCTTTAAAAGCATCACACTTTTTTTTAACAAAACATCCCGGACCATCCCGGATCACCCCAGACCATGGTCCGGGATGGTCCGGAGTAGTCCGTGCTCGTCCGTGCTGGTCCGGCTTTATATGGGACTGGGGCTTTAAGCTACAGTCCCATATACGTCCCGGACCGTCCCGGACCATCCCGGACCCCATCCGGGGTGATTCTGGATTCGGTCCGTGTTGACACCGTGTTGGCACCGGGGTGGTCCTGGATGGTCCTGGATGGTCCTGGATGGTTCTGGATGGTCCTGGGCGGTCCGGGAGTCGACCCCGGATGTTTTTGACGGTCAAAAACTACCGGGGTGGTCCGGGACGGTCCAGGACAATAGTTTGATCCGGGGTGATCCGTGTAGCCACCGTGCTGGGTCCGGGGTCATCCGTAGTGGCGCCGGGGCGGTCCGTGTTGATCCGTGGCAGTCCGGGAGTGAGTTATTGACCCCGGATCACCCCGGCGCCCCTACGGATGATCCCGGACCATCCCGGTGCCAACACGGATCATCCCGGAAAGCCCCGGGATGATCCGTGTTGGCACCGGGATGGTCCGGTGTCATCCGTGTTGGCACCATGTTGGCACCGGGGTGGTCCGGGACGGTCCGTGGCGGCTCCGTGCTGGGTCTGGAATGATCTGTACTGCTGCCGGGGCTATGCCCGGACGGTCCTGGGCGGTCCGTAGTGGTACCGTGTTGGGTCCGGGGAGACGGTCGGCGGTTGCGATTTTTTGAACAAAACATCCCGGACCATCCCGGATCACCCCAGACCATGGTCCGGGATGGTCCGGAGTGGTCCGTGCTCGTCCGTGCTGGTCCGGCTTTATATGGGACTGGGGCTTTAATGAAACCGGTGATGGCAGTGTCATCAGCATACTTTATAAATGAACAATATATTATACAGTGTAATTCGATACAAATTTTCAAAAGGAGACTTAAAAGCTTTCTTCTGAATATTTACTAGGCTATTGCATTCTCCAATCAAATATAATTTGTAGTGTGACTTTATGCAACTTTGATTGTTTCTTTTTATCAACACGTATGTATTTATCAATGTTTTGCGTTTAAAAGTGATTTTTTTTTTATGTATTACTGAATCAGTTATTGTTATTGTTTGTTTTTTTTCTCATAAAATAATAATTCACAATAATTACTTTTACAGGGGGGCTTACACCCTACGAGCTCTGCTTTTTAGTCGGCCCTCCTTCCCTTTCATTTTTTTAATGCCTTGTATGTGCAAATTGATCTATAAAATTATGTATATAAATATGTGAATATGTTAAAATGTACCATCATTGTAAATATGACGATTGAAAGAGGAAAAATAAATGAATTGAATTGAGTATTATTCAACATTTTGAAATCTTCTAGACAGTGTTTATAAATTTAGATAGGATTAGGAGTTCAAGGGGGACAAAATGAAGAAAGAAAAAAAAGACATTTAGTACCATAGCCTGTCTGGTTACCGCTCGCTTGAGCAGTTTTCACAGATAGCTGAAATATACATGTACAGAAGCTCGGGGAGCTCGAGCCCCCCCCCCCCCTAGTGAAAAAATACACGGGGGCTCAGGGCGAAATAGCCCCCGAAATGCCCAAAAGAGCCCTAGAAAATCAGAAAAGAGCCCCCGAAAATTCGCATGGAGTTCAATGCAAACAAATTTTAGAATGTCATTTTCATGCAGGAGAGGTTGAAAAGTAGCCCCAGAAACATAAATATTATTTTTTTCCCTGCCGGCACCCCCCCCCCCCCCCCCCTATACACACTTTTTTGAAAAATTATGTTATAGATAAAAGAATGAAGAAAGAAAGAAAGAAAGACGAACATTGTAAACTTGATCGCGATCCTAGAAACGGAAAGCTTACATAGGAACGTACAAAAACAAAATGGTAGGTTCAGTATATGCATACAAACATGATAGACATGGTAAATGCTCATAAAAGTGGTCTGGATGCAGGCCAATATGCATTGATGGTTTCTAAGAGGGAAGGCGAAATGTTAAAAAGTCAGACGTAATTAAAGATAAACTCCAGTTCCGGTAAAAAAAAAAGAAAATTAATTCTCAAAGAATCAAACGAAACTTACACTGAATGTTTAAGATTACAAATAAATGACATGTGCCAA